CTGGCTCAGATCTTGTTCAAGCCACATCACAATGCTTTGGTTTTTGCCATAGCAAGGCAACCTCTGAGCTCGATTCTCACACCCCAGATAGCACACCACCAGCTCAGTGAGTGTGCATTCCTATGATTAAAGCATGACTGACGAAACCAGGTACCCAAGGCCCCTTTACGAAGGGCAGCTTAGAATAAAGAGAAAACAAGCCCAAACCAGCACCACCAAAGCCCAGGGAGAAGCTTGAGGACATCTCTGCAGAGACAGCAGAAGGGCCGAGGCCGCAGGCAGCAAGATGGGGGTCCCTCTCCCAGGAAGCACAGGGGCCTGGGGTGAATGTCAGCAGGGCCTCCGCTAGCTGTGACCCTGGGCAAGTCATTCCCCCCCATTGGTACTCTCACCCAAAAGGTCGGACAACAGAACCAGCCTGGAATACAGGGAGGAAGACAGAATGAAGGGGTTTATCCCAGGGGCAGCCTAGGCTGGGGGGGAGGGGTGCCCCCAGGGTCTGCGTAGGAGACTCCCCTCCCCCAGCTGAGCCCAGCACCAACCCTTCCGACCCCTGACTGACCAGAAGGTATAAGGGTCCCCTGGGAAAATACAATTTGCAAGGCAAGTGCAACAGCAGTCCGCACCTCAGCTCTGACTGCTTAGAACTGCACCCTGGCCCTTAACAAGGATTAGAAGATTCAGAATCATGTTGAAAGTTGATTTCTGTCCCCTCTTCCCGTAACGCTGCTGGTTACAGGGCTTTGCGCTTTACAGGCCTAATCAACAGGCTCCAGCTACTTGTAACCCTGCGAAGCCAGTGTGGCAGCTGGTCTGATGGCCCGGGAGGCTCCGCGGGGCAGGCGGCCAGGCTGCCTCACTGCAGGAGGTGGACGGTGGCCGCCCTGCGGATGAGCCTCGCAGTCAGTGGGGAGTTGGGCTTCAAGGCATCTCGCTCCATCAGAAGGCTCCTGGGGAAACAGAGACAGGCTCTGTGTTGGAACCTCCTAGAATGTGGGGGGGCGGATGGTCCCTCCACCCCAAAGGCAGGACACAGGCAGCACGGGCTGGGGCCGAAGTGGCAGAGAGCAAGATGCTCCCCTTCCCAAGCGGTGGAGGGAGGGGACGGCATAATGGCAGAGGGGACTAGAGGGACAAAGACCCAGAGGCAGGACATCAGGGGTGGGGACAGAGGGAAGGTGGGCGGAGATGTGAGGATGAGAAAGCGTGGACTCCAGAGCCCCGCGTGCTCGCACTGGCCCAGGACATCCGGTGTTCAAAGAGCATCCTGACAATGCTCCCAGCGATGCCCGAGTGCAGAAAATTTCAGGGTGAGCACATCCCCGTGGCCTCGTCTGCCCCAGGAACTTGGGGCCCATCCTCCCGCCATACGGAATGCTGGGACCAGAGGGTAGAGCACGACTGTGGGGATGGGGGGGAGAGCCACGCCTGAGGATGTTCCAGGAAAGCGAGTGGCATAAGAGACGGTGTGGGAAAAACCGAACTTTCAACAAAGAGAGAATCATTTAAGGCAAAGACCCCAAACAATTGACAACAGCGATTCTGTGCGCCGAGGGTGCGGTTAAGGGGCCGGGGCCTGGCACTTGGGGCAGGGACACCATGGCAGGGGGCCGAGGGTTTCCACCTTGGACGGGAGGGGAGCTGAGCCGTGTGAGGATGGCAGGAGGGCACCAGGAGGGGGCGTGCCTGTCACCCCGAAGCAGCAGGCTCCCCTCGCACTTCAGGGGCAGACCCCCTACTGCACCCTCCGCCCCCCAGCGTGGACCTCGTCACCCCGCCCGTGTGCTGGCCCCAGCTCCCCCGCTCAAGCCTGCACCCTCCTCTCCGTCCAAGGGGCCCCACCCTCCCTGCCCAGCTGCCAGAGGCACCACACCAGGCCTGGAGCTCCCCAAGCGGCTCCACCACTAGAGAAATGCGTGCGGTTTTGCACGTGGCCACGGAGGGGGACAGCGAGGGGCATGTATCCAGGGTGCTCCAGGGTTTGACCATTTCCAGCGTGTCCATCCAGACTCAGGTGTGACACAGCGTCCACACCTGTTTCACCAGCACCTGCACTGCTCGCTTTGGAACGGTCGTCGGGGCAGCCGGGCCCTGCCCACCGTGGGCCGCCCGTGCCTGTGCTTGGACACTGGTGCTTTCCACCTGACCTCTAACCTCAAGCGCCCTGCAAGGGCCTCCTGGGCCCCACGGTGCAGCCTGGACTTGCAGTGGCAGCTTCGCTGGGCCTCACGACACCCCTCCTGCCCACCCGGCACCCCTTGGCTCCCCTCTTTCCCCTCGGCGTTCCAGGAGGACCTAAGGGATGGGGGGGGCCACATCTCCCCCCAGGAGCATAGGGGCTGGTGCAGGTCGAGGTGAATGGGGTGTGGGACAGCGAAGGCTGCCGGCGATGGCTGGCTTCACGGGTAGAGCTTTCTTCTTGGGGTGCCCCTACCCTGACACCCCCAATCCTCCAGCCACACCCCTCCTCCTAACCAGATCACCCCTGGCCTGGTTAAACTCGCTTGGTTTCAGGCCTCCCTGAGAGTGTCACCTCCACCAGGCACCCTCCCTCCCAACCCCCGCCCACTCATCACAGCGTCTTGGGCAATACTCCCGCCCTCGTGGCAGTTTTACACATATTTGTGGCATTGGTTGCCTCATGTCAGTTCCCACAGGAGAGGTAAGCTCCATGCAGCCTGGGCCTGGGTCTCCTGCCCACCACTCCCCCCCCCCGCCCCCAGCACCCAGCACAGGTAGGAGAATGTGAGCTGAGACCCAAAGGATCGGTAGGCGTCGGCAGGTGCAAGAGAAGAAAGGATGTCCCAGACAGAGGGTGTGGCACGTGCAAAGGCCCAGGGGCCTGAAAGAGTAACTGCAGCTCACTGTGGCCAGAAATGAGGAGTGGGCTGGGAGGGCAGGAGGGGGGGCCTGGGGGTGGAGGTGGCCAGATCCTTTGGTCAAGTTGAAGACGCTCACAGGGGGAGAGCCAGGCACCCACGTAGCCTTGCATCTCTGCCTCAGAGGTGGGCACCACCTCGGGCCAAGGGAGGTGGGAGCCTCTGGGCACCTGGAAACCTGTGGGGAGACCCCCGAGTGAGAGGGCGCTGTGCTCAGGGTCCTTCCCAGCTGGGCTTTGGGACCAGAACGAGGAACTCACCGGGCCACGTTCTTGTGGATGCCGGACGAGCAGTTTAAGGCCGCGTGAATCAGTAACTGGTTGAAGATGTCTCTCTGAAAGGTCAAGTGGGCACGTGAGGCTCTGTGACGTGGGACGAGGTATAGGGATGCCTGCCCCCTCCCCGCTGCAGGCTGGCCTGTTCTCAGCGACAAGCTTACTGGGGGATGTGAACGACAAGGACTCTCCCACACTGTGGGCACCAACACCGCGGAGACAGAGGCCGTGGGGCACAGGGGCTCCCGGACTGGCCCTCGCGCCGCAGCTGCTGGCTCACCTGGGCATTGCTGCCTCCGATCTGGACAATCCGGTGGCGGATGGGCAGGAGCAGTTCCACCACGCCATCGGAGTTCCCGCTCTGGGCCTCCACCAGGGCCTGGCACAAGGGCAGCCCCACATCGCGGGCCAGGAGGTGCTGGTGGTTCTCCCCCGGGGACCTGCCAGCCCAAGAGGGTGCCCCCAGTGTCCTGCAGGGCCTCGTGCTGCCCCCCCCCCCCCACTCAGGCACCTGAGGAGGGGGCTGTCTCTTCCTCAGCCCAGCATCCCTGGCTCCGTGCCTGACACAGTAGGTGCTTTGATCAGGTGACCTGACAGAGGACAAGCCGCCAGGGAGGGGAGAGAACTGGGCTCTAAACTCAGTTCAACTGCGACGTGGCCTTGGGCGGATGCCCCACACCTGGCCTTGGTTTGCTCATCTGTAAGGTGGGAGTAGCAGTGCCGCCCTCGCAGGGCAATGCAGGGGCGGCATGAGCAGCCCCCCAGGGCCCTCTCAGCAGGGCGGGGGTCCTCCCGGTGGCCCCGGGCCCTCCACGTACTCGCTGGCATCCCGCAGGGTGGTCAGCAGCTCCTGCGTGGTCCGGGAGTCCCCAGCGCCCAGGGACGCCATCAGCAAGTGCGCATCGTTGAAGAGAAGGATGTGGTCTCGGCTGTGCTTCTGGGTCACGGACAGGACATCTTGCCACCGCTCACCCACAGACACCCCTGGGGACACGGGAGGACACCCGCAGGCCTGGCATGAGCGCTGTGCGCACGGGCCTCTGGCACCCACGGGTGGCTCCAGGTGAGGAGGCCGGGTGACGCTGGCAGGCGGTGTCTGGCCTCGGGCTTAGGCTTTGGGGGCCGGTTTATATTAACTTTGTTTAATCATAAAAGCGGCAGACGGGTAAGGTAGAAAGCAAAAAAAAAAAAAAGCTATGGAAGGGTATTAAATGAGGTCTCTGGACCCTTTGACAAACCCCAAACCACTTTAAAACTTCTTCCCGTGGCTCTCACTGGGCAGGCACCTGACACAGCACAGCACAGCGGAATTCATAGAAAGCAGCCTTCGGCCTTTGGGTCCCGATCTCCAGCTCTGGACAGTCCCTCTGCTCCGCTCTCCACCACCGCCTCCCGCCTCCTGTCCCTCCCGCTCCTGCAAGTTTTACCCGAGTTTTCCTACTGCTCCTAGAGGGCTCCTCCCGTGACCTTGTTGTTGCCCTTGACTTCCATTTCTCCGCCTGTCAGTTGGACGCGGCTCTGAAGTTTCCACTCTGCGTGCTGAGGGCGCAAGTGGCCTTCCTCTTCCCTCCACCGGCCCTGAGGCACCCACACCGTGCCTCCCAGCCTCCAGGCTGGGCCCCTCCTCCGGCAAATTCAGGGGGGCCCAGGCTGCGCCTCCACAGGCGAAGGGTCAACAGGACTCAACTGCCCCCAGGCCCGCCCCCCCCCGCACCGAGTTCCGATGGTTTTGGCCGGACAGAGACACAGGCCTCCACCAGCCTGGGTTCTGGTGTCCAGGTCTTATCACCTGGACGGCCGTGAGAGCTCCTCACTGTTCTCCCAGCTCCTCACGGATGCCCCGGCCTCCAGCCCAGCCTCCCCTGGCTCAGCCCCCCTGCTGGACAGAGCCTGGCCAGCCCTGCCCCGCGGGCTCCCCGCAGACCCAGATGAAAGCCACACTCTTCACCCTCCCTCCGCAGCTCTCAGCCTCCTCTGCTCCTCTGAGCGCACGGACCCCACACTCCGTCACTCATCCCCATAACAGGCCACTGGCTTCTGTGTCCTGGGGGCTTCAGATAGGCTGCTTCCCACCTGTAACATCCTGTCCCGTTGCCACCCAGCAAAACCCTACGTTCCCTTCCATGGCTCACATTTCACCTCCTCTAGGAAGCCTTCCCAGAGTCCCCGGAAACAGCCAGTCCTGCCCGGGCCTCATCCCCACTGACCCAGGACCTACAGTGGGTACAGGTTTGGCTCTGCTGAGCCTGGGGGAGAGGGGAGAGCTATCTGGTACCCCAGTGGTTGGCCATAAGCCTTCCGTAGCCCTCAGGGCTATGGGCAACCCCACCCAGGCTCCCTGAAGAGCACTGAATGACACAGTTGGGAAAACCCTCCCTCTGAAATCCCAGGGAGTTGAGAAACTGAGGTGGCACCCAAAGACAGGTGGCCAGGCGCCACCCGCGCCATGCAGGCCTGGCAGGTAGGCTGTGGGAACGGCAGGTGCCAGCAGGATTCGGAGCCTGAGGCCCGCACACAGAGAAGCGGAGGGAACTGGGAGAAAGGGCAGCAGTGGCCTGGTCCACTGGCCTCAGGCCAGCTGGAAGGCAGCCTCAGGGCTGGTACCCGAAGCCGCGCCGTCCTGGGACCGGGAGCAGGCCCTGGAGAAACTCGCTAATGAGCTCCTGCCAGCCTGAGCCCAGGCCGTGGCACCGTCCCCTCGTCGGGTGGGAGGAGAAGAGCCAGAGGAGAAGGCCCAGACTGGGTACCTTCCATCTGCAGCCGGTAGAGCATGGAGCAGCTGTCCACCACGTCCAGCATTGCGCCACTGCCCCGCAGGCTGGGGAGGATCTGGAAGACAAGAGCAGGAAGGGGATGAGGCGCTGCAGGGACGGCCAGAGCCCACCCCTCTGGGCTGTGCGTAGGGCCTGGGCAGAGCCAGCCCTCAGCCAACAGGAGCCACCACCAGTGTCCCCTCCACCCCAACTCTCAGGGCCATTCCCCTCTCCGAGGGCCTGGACCGCTCCAGCTGCCCAAGGGACAATGGACAGACCTGAGAAAGAGCCTACCGCACTGGCACCTGGGGGAGCACCTGCCGGGCCCTTGCACCTGTCACCTCCTGCCCCCAGCCCTGGTCTATGACGGCAGAGAATCATCTCTCCCGACCACGATTCCACATTCGTCTGGTCTACGTCTCACGGCACACAGCTCTTGTCACCCTTCACTCTTTACTACGAAATCCCGACAACTCGAGAGGATGATTTATAGGAAACTTTACTGAGTGTTTTTCTCTGGGGTTTAGATCCTCAAATTACAAGCATTTTTGTGACCCCAGGCTTTGCTATTAAGCCCATGGTGGGGTCCCCAGCAGTTGCAAGTTAGGCTTTTTTTTTTCCCTCTTAAACATACCTAGGGGGTGGAGGGAGGGGGAATAGGGAGTTAGTGTTTAGTAGGCCAGGAGTTTCAGTTTGGAAAGATGAAAAAGTTCCAGAAATGGATGGTGGTGATGGCTGCACAGCCACGTGAATATACTTAACGCTACAGAACCATACACTCAAAACTGGTTAAAATGGTAAAATATGGTATGTATATTTTACTACAGAAAAAAAAAATTCCTGGGGGGCTTCCCTGGTGGCTCAGTGACCTGCCAATGCAGGGGACATGGGTTCGATCCCTGGTCCAGGAAGATCCCGCATGCCGCGGAGCAACTAAGCCCGTGCGCCACAACTACTGAGCCTGCGCTCTAGAGCCTGCGAACCACAACTACTGAAGCCCACGTGCCTAGAGCCTGTGCTCCGCAACAAGAGCAGCCACCGCAATGAGAAGCCCGCGCACCGCAATGAAGAGTAGCCCCCACTCGCTGCAACTAGAGAAAGCCTGCACACAACAACGAAGACCTTTCTTTTAAAAAGAAAGGTCTTCTTTTAAAAAAGAACATACAAATACATTTTAAAATAAAATAAAATAAAATGACTGGAAGGAAGCCTGAGATTTCAGAGATGACCAAATGAGATGTGCAATCAACCAACGCCCACGGGCAGAGTCAAATCCCGTTCTGGGTTTCGACACCGCTCTGGGCTCTGCGAGAGAATCGATGCCGGGAGGTCTTACACAAGAGCTGTGCTCTCGCTCCAGCTGTGGGTCTGCCTGGGGTAACACTGATTGGCTCAAAGATCTGTTAGAGACGGAAGGGTAAATTGCCGCAGTAAACCGAATCGTGTGCAAGCGTGGACTTACGTGGTCATCATAAATGGTCAATGCGGCCTCGTATTCGCCCTGGAAAAATGAAGTTCCGGCATTAACACGTGGAGGAGGTGAAATGTGATGCTGAGACATGAATTGCAAATGACCTCGACAAAGTCCCCGCCCCACAGCCGTGGTGGGTCTCAGGATGGGAGGAGAGGAACCCACCTCTGCCCCAGCCCTTCGCTCCCCCGTGTAGAAGACACAGCAGCAGCTCCTGCTGCTAAGGGAGCCCTTTCTGCGAAAGCATTATTCTTCCTATGAAGCGCTTGTCAAGCGGCTGCCGGCTTTTTCATGTGTTTCTTCTAGGATTGTTTTTCCCTTTATTTTCCTTACTGCCCAGTTGGGTTCACTGCTTTCTTGGAGACACTGTATCACTGCCTTCTGCCTGTCATTACAGGGTCCTCACCTTCCAAGCATTTCTCTTTGGACATTTAGGGAGCTTCTAGATTTTCTCTATGATAAACTGTAAGACAAACCCTTATAAATGGGACCCAGTGGTGGAATCACTGGGGTCAAGGGTGTCCCCACACCCTCACTGCCACTGGGGCAAAGCATTCGGAGGGTCCCATGGTTCATTCAGCTACATCCGTGAGGTGGGAGACTAGCAGTCCACCACAGCGGCAGGCGCTCGGGCTACCCTGTCTCCACAAATGGCACACGATACACATGATTTCCAAGTCCAGACAGTGCAGAATACCTAAAGTAGTTTAAGCCTGAAAAGCTATTTGAAAACATGAGTGCTCTGCTGCATCAAGACACCTTTGAAATGTGCAGTCACACCGTACTGCTCCACAGGATACAAAGTATAGCAAAAGGTAGAAAAATATTTCTTTCCTTGGACATCTTTATAGGATAAGACAGCCGGTCATCTTACCTTTTCAATCAGATATAAAGCCCAGTGCCAATAATTGTGACACGCAAGCATATCAGAGTCCTGGGGAAAGAACGAGAGAATGAGGGGAAAATCTGACAGCCTGTTGGGGGGAGGCGGGAAGCAGCTCCTGTTCTGTGCCAATGCAGAGCGCCACAGCTCTGAACGCAGGAAACGCTTCCCGGGCACCCGCCCTGGCCGGCCTGTGCCGGCGAGTCCACGCCCCGTCTTCTCCTTTGGCTCTGAGCCTCGGCGAGTGGCGTGCCTGAATTTTCCGAGGATGCTGAGGCTGCGGCAGGCTGGCATCTTAGCCCCAGAGCGAGAAGGCAGGAGAACCAAAGCCTCACCTTCCTTGGGTGTGGAGTGGAGAAAATGAATAAGTCTATCCGAACGGCTGCAGAGGCCCACTGCGTCCAAACAGTGCAATGCATCCAGTAAAACCCTACGGATCAGTGAGCCCAGGGCCAAACTCCCTGCAGGTCCTGTCAGAGCCCACAGAATAAGGGGAATGGGGTGACATCTAGACAGCTGCAGCTGGTACGCTTTTGGCCCTACCATGAACACTAGGCTACGGGGCTGCGGCTGACACTTCCTTCTCTGCCTGGATACCACCTCCCATCTCCTGGAAAGGAACTGACGATGCCTCCTCCACGGCCCACGTCTACCTGGCATCTGTATTTGAGGGTGACAACCCACCCAACTCCCCTCTCCCTTACAGGGAGAGGCCTGTAGGCCTTGGCGCCTTTGCTTAAGCTGATCCTACATCTCCCTGTCCTCTGCCTAGCAAACACCTACTCACCCTGCAATACTCAGCTCATACGTTGCCTCCTCCAGGAAGCCTTCCCTGACTGTTTCTCCCTCAAGCCCAGTTGGGTGGGATGCCTCCTCTGGGTTTCCACATCCCCAAGAATGCCCCTGGCATGGTGCAGTCATGCGCTGCTAGGGAACTGCTCGCTCCACTTGACGGGCCTTTTGAGGACAGAGAGGTCTGGGTGGGACTCTTAGTGGGGTCCCCAGGAAGGGGCACAGCCAAATGCCTGGGGCAGGTGCTAGAGGAGGAGGAAAGGGAGCCCCAGGCCACATCGTCCACCCCAGGGCTGTGCAGCCAGGCCAGAGGCTGGCAGGAGCCACTGCAGGGACGTGTGCAGGCATCAGGGGACGAGCGCCTGCTGGAGATGGCCCCAGCCACCTCGGGCTGCCTGTTACAGTCGGACTAACACCGATGGGGACTCCTTCGGGGCAAGGGCTTCACAGTTGTTGCAGCAGCAGGTTTTCAGGTAAGGAAACCGAGGCTCAGAGGGACCACGGTCTCATCCTGGGGTGGAGCCAGGCCTCAAGCACCCAGGCCCAGGAAAATCCCAGTCTGGGGGCAGGAAGTAAGTGGAATTCAAATGACCTGGCCCTGGCCACGCCTCCGCGGCCTCCCCCTCAGAGGACCCGGCAACTCTGCGCTCCCTCCACCCAGACTCAGCACCTGCAGGGGGAGCCCGAGGACAAGGGCCCGACCCACACTGTACCCCCATCCCCACCCAGGGCCTAGCTCATGCCCAGCGTTTGGGGATCCTTAAAAAGATCTGGGGGCTTCCCTGGTGGCGCAGTGGTTGAGAATCCGCCTGCCGATGCAAGGGACGCGGTTTCCATCCCTGGTCCGGGAAGATCCCACATACCGCGGAGCAACTAAGCCCGTGCGCCACAACTACTGAGCCTGAGCTCTGGAGCAAGCGAGCCACAACTACTGAAGCCCGCGCACCTGGAGCCTGTGCTCTGCAACAAGCCACCGCAATGAGAAGCCTGGGCACCGCAACGAAGAGTGGCCCCTGCTTGCTGCAACTAAGGAAAGCCCACACACAGCAACAAAGACCCAACGCAGCCGAAGAAAAAAAAAAGATCTGAGTGTGAATCTAATGAGATTATAGTTCTCAAAGGTTCTCTTACACCAGTTCGCCTGCTCTACTTAATACCCCTCTTGGAGAAGCCAGGGATCTGCCTTCTTGTAAATTACTTCTCGCTGGCCTGTCCTAGGCCAGGGAGCTGCTGGGAGGAACTGAGGTGACCATGCCAGTCCCCTGTTCCCTGCCTGGTTCCTGGTCTCTCCGTGGTTTGCTCAATCACTGAGCACCTGCTGCCCGGTGCCAGGCCCTGGCAGAGACTCACTGTCTTGGCCGGTGGTGCCCTGGGAAGCCCACCATAGCACAGAGAAGGGCAGAGCAGCAGACCGCACCTGGACAGGTAGCCAGGCTGTAGGCCAGAGACACACTCAAGGACCACAGGCGCATGCAGAGGGAGGGCCACAGCAGCTGGGCACAGGCGGGCGCCGGGGGTGGGAGCAGGGAGGCCCCTGGGTGTTAAGGCCCCAGGAAAGGGCCTGGAAGGGCTTGAGGGGTCTGGATGGCATCCACGCTGCTGCCTCACCAGGGCCCTGAGCCCCGCACACCAGCCCCACCGACAGTGGCTGGGCCGTCATCCCTCCCATTAAGCCCTGGCTGCAACACGTGCTCCCTGAGGACGCTCTGTGGTTCTGGGGTCTGTGTCCAGTCTGCTGGCCGGTGAGCTCACAGTTTTCACCCCTGCTGGGCTCTCGTTTCACCTTTCTCATCCATTCCTTCTACAACCTCAGGCCACAACCAGTTCTAGAAACACCTTCAAAACATCAGCGGATGTCGGGAAGCCGTGGGGTTCCCAGGGGATTCGGTGGCTTGACAGAAACGCCTCCAAGTGGAAGATGAGTTCTCCCCAGAACTAAGCCACGCCTTGTACCTCCATCCGTTAATCCCCGGCTTAACTTGGGGGAACAAACAGAATTTTCCAGGCAGGTGGGCAGACACGAATCGTACCTTCCAGTGGGTTTCTGAGCGCTGCATGAACTCCAATCCATCCTGGACCTCTGCTTTCATCTCATGAATATGGGCGATGGTGTGCACCGACCACGCGTCCGTTGGGTTAATAGACAAAGCCTACGTGGCGGGGGTGTGGGGGTTGGGTGGGGGACAAGTCGAGATAACATGGGTGAGTCAGGCTGCCCGGTGACAAGGCGTCCCCAAGCCGTGCTGGGGCACGAGGGGCCTGGGCAAGCAAGGGGCCTGGGCTCTGCCTCAAAATAACAACCCCAAGGACCAGCCCATTGACCAAACACCAGATGCTGCCAGAGAGGGTATCACTGCCCATTTCACAGATGAGGAAACTAAGGTTCAGAGAGGCTAAGTGACTTGCCCGGGCCCACACAGTTGGGTGGCACTGGGGTCTCTCCAAAGCAGGGGCTCATCCAACCCCCTGGCCCCCAGCCTCCTGCATACAGCTGAGTCGCTGCCCAGTTTCCCCTGTGGTGAGAAGTAAGGTCGCCTTCCTCTCGCAACTGCCGTGGAGGCCAGCGGACACCGAGTGTGTGCGCTCCAGGGGCTCTCGGCTGCCCCTCCCGACTAGCACACATGCAAGGACCACACACATGCAAGGACCACATGTGTGGCTTTCCAGGCTCGTTCTGGTATCACTGCTAGGAACAACAAGAGCCACTCCGATGACCCTCGGACTTGATGGTGACGACATGGCAGGCGGGACACGAGGTCCGACTCCCATCTCACGGCGGGTAGTTTAGCTCATGGCTACTGAGCGCCTACTGATCCTGGCACAGAGCAATAAGCTGAGGCTCACCACGGGCCTGTGGACCATCCACACGAGCCCAGGTCCTCCACACCTGATCACGGGGTCCCCCCAGCCCTGCCACCTCAGGCGCCCACGCCTTTCACAGAAGCAGAATTGGGAAAGCCCAGCACCTTCACCCCTGGCCTGGCACCTGCTGTGGGGTCTATGCTGGCAGGTGGTCCCCAGCAAGCCCCACCTCCCTGCTGCAGCCCTGACTTGCATGGGCCCAACCAGTCCACGTGGGGACACAGAGAAAGGCCACGTCTGTAGGGAACGACGGGCAGCCCGGGGCAGAACCCTGCAGGAGCAGGACCCTTCAGGAGACCCCAGGGGCGCAGCTGAGCAGGCTGAAGGGACCTGCTAAGCGTGCTGCGGAAGGCAGAGGCTCAGAGCAGCAGGGCCGCTCTCATCCCCCTGCTGGGATTAAGTTCCCCCCTCGCTGAGGGGTTCCTGACCGGCTCCCTCCCAAGGTTCCCTGGGACAGAGTCTACAAGGCCAGAGCGATCCGGCCCTGCCTGCCCCCAGACTTTGCTCCCAGCACCCGGCCCGCCCACCTCCGCCCTAAGTCTCAGTCTATCAAGTGCTCTGTGACCCTGAACTCGCTGCGGCTCTCCTTCCCCGACAGCTGCCCTTTGCTCTTCCTGCCCTGGGCGTTCAGCCTGCAGACAAGGCCCACACGTCACCACCGTGAGGCCTCTCCAGACTCCAGTGGAGCCTGTGCAGCCCACCCTCGCTCTCCTAGAGGCCTGGCCTTGCCCAATAACTGTCTGTGGTGGGCTGGTGCTGGGGTCAGAGTGTGGGCGCCTGAAGGAGAAGGGGCGTGAAGGGAGCAGAGTGGGGCACCCCATGCCACCGCTTCCTGCTCCTGGCGGGTGTGAACCTGCACCTTTTGGTCACCCTCTGACTTCTTGAACCATCGTGCCAGCCCTCAGGTGCCCACATAGACAGCACCCAAAGGGAGGGTCCAGCTGCCAAGGTCTCCAGGGGAACCTTCCTACAGCTGACCCCCTGGATGGTGGCGCCTGGTCACCCAGATTGCCGTGAAGCTCCCTGTGCCCCTCAACGGCCTGACTCAGGGCTAAAGCACAGACCTCATCTTCCTACTGTCAAATCTGGGCTCTATTTTATAAGTAGAGTTGTTGTCAGAGACCCCACAGGCCCTGTGGGCCCCCGGAGGGTGCCGGCTGTCTCCCAGGGAGGGGTGCTGGGAGCCAACTAGGGCAAAGACTCGGGGGGAGAGCCCTGGCTGGGTGCTGGGGAGCAGGTCTGTCCAGGCAGCAAGAAGGACTGTGCTCAGGTGGCCTGGGCGACCGTGGCTCTGCCTTCTGTGAGCTGTGTGGCCATGGCCTTGGCCTCTCTGGGCCTGGTCACCCTCCTCTGGGCAATGAAGAGTTCAATGCCCTGCTGCAGAGGATCGAGCCGACAGGAGCGGCGTGTACACTGAGTGCCGGCCCTGAGCCAGGCGCAGGAGTGGCTGTCACCCCCGTGTGCGTGGCGGCCCCTCCCTGGGACTCAGTTTCCACTCCCACGAGAGAGGGAGCTGGAGAGGGACTCTGAGAGCCAGAGATGCTGAGGCTCCCGGGCCTGCGAGCAAGGGACGTCCACGGGGCCAGCCAGCCCATCTCCACCAGCACGGAAGGAGGGGCCCGGGCAGGCTGGAAGCGCTTAGCATCCCACCCTGTTCTGCACCCTTGGCCGCTGCCCCCTCCGGATGGGGGCAGTGCTTAAGAGAAGGGCTGGCCAGCAGGACCCCAACGCCAGGTCAGGGCCCACTGGAAGCAGTCTGATGAAATAAAATTTATATCTTAAGGCAGGACAAGAAAAGTTAAACATAAAGTTCTCTATCTGGGCTTGTTTGGGCCTCCTCCCTCCCTCCCTGATGTGCAGTACGCACGTGTGTTACACATCCATCAGTGCTCCTCAGAGATGGGAGTACCTGCCGGACCGTAAACATCAATGCTTCCCTTTTTTCTGATGCTAGCAATGTAAGTTCTTAAAAGAACGCGTTCTTCCCCAGCTCTGTAGGGGGTCGTGGTGACTCGCTGCTGGCTTCATCCGTGCTTATCCGGACTATGTATCCTTGGTGACCGCTACATAAAACATCAGGATGTCATTTTGATGTACGATCCTTTGTCTCCAAAAGGTAGATGACTATGACTGTACCTTTGAGTTCTAACAGGCTGAACAGTTCTCAGAACTTTCTGAGAATCTGCTTCCTGGGTTACAATCCTCAGTTTGGCTCGAATAAAATTCCCCTTTTTTTTTCTTAACTTGATAGTTCATTGAATTTTTGGCGACAGGCCTCACTCATCACTCATCTGTCAGCTCCTGGAGGCTTAGTGAAGTCAGTGACACTTAGACACGTGAGGTCCCAGGTGGGAGAAGTGACGCTGATACTCGCTTCCCCACCTACAAAGTCTGGGTCCAGCAGCGCAAACTGTGGGCCCTGGAGACACGGAGCTGGGGGCATGCAGAGCTGCCACTCCATGTGACCCTATGCAAGAGGGGTGGACGGAACCTCCCTGGGCCTCATTCGCCTTCATGGCCTAGGTGGGGAGTTTCCTGAGCAAGGCGGCTTTGCAAACCCAGGGTGGGGAAAAGGGGAGGGAGCTGCCCTCTCTGTTAACATGAGCCCTCCTGGTAGGAAACGAGGTCCTGAGTGGGTGGGGTGCAGCGTGCCTGGCGTGCTCTCCTCCACCTGACCCCACTCCACAAGGGCTCGGGCATCTCAGGAAGGGCCCACTTACCTCTTTGGCGAGCTTTTCCGCCCGATCATAGAAGTTGGTTTCCATCAGTCCGAAAGAATAGATGCCTTTCACGTAGCTGAAAACAGAAGAAAATTATTTTTTAAAAAAGTGCACTTGGGCTTCCCTGGTGGCGCAGTGGTTGACGGTCTGCCTGCTAATGCAGGGGACGCAGGTTCGGGCCCTGGTCTGGGAGGATCCCACATGCCGCGGAGCGGCTGGGCCCGTGAGCCATGGCCACTGAGCCTGCGCGTCCGGAGCCTGTGCTCTGCAACGGGAGAGGCCACAGCAGTGAGAGGTCTGCGCACCGCGATGAGGAGTGGCCCCCGCTTGCCACGGCTGGAGAGGGCCCTCGCGTGGAGACGGGGACCCATCGCAGCCATAAATAAATAAATAAATAAATAAATAAATAAATAAAAAGCCAAGCATTTGAAGCCCTTTAAAAAAAAAAAAAAAAAAAGTGCACTAGAACCGTTCAACCCTCAACATGACCCGTGTCGGTCAAACTGTGTCTCCCCCAAAATGGTACGTTTGAACATATGCCCTAACTTGGAATTAGAGTCTCTGCAGATCATCATCACGCTCACGTTAAGATGAGGTCATCCTGGATTAGGGTGGGCCCTACATCCAATGACTGATGTCCTCATAAGAGAAAGGAGAAGGAGGAAGGTTTGGACACAGACACACATGGACACACACACAAAGGACAGACAGTCACGTGGAGACGAAGGCAGAGACTGCAGTGATTTCAGACTTGCCAGTCCCCAGTCACAGGAGCCAATTCCTTAAAACAAATACCTTCCCCCCCACCCCACCCCACCCCGCTCCATATATATATGTAAGTAGTATAGATATAGATACAGATATATACATCCTATTGGTTCTGTTCTCTGGAGAACCCTGACTAATACAGCTCTTCAATCTACTAGTCCACTTGACCTTCACAACGATCCTATGACTAAAATGCAACGGAGGTGATCATGTGTGGTGGTCCCTAGGGCTGTTCATGGTTATTCCAGGCCTCCCTCTCCTCCCAGCCCAAAGTAGAGTTGCACTTCCTGGCCCCCTGTGAGTGGGTGACTGGATTTGACCAGTGACTCGGGAGCTGCAGGGCACACCCTTCACTCTGAGCACTAATGCCATTGTGAGTCCCCCAGGAGATCTCTTTCCCTCTTAGCAGCTGGTGTATCCCGAGAGCAGTTACTTCATCAGCTGGGATCCTGGAGGGCGACAGTGGCAGGGGTGTGGAGCCTCAGTTCTCCTGTGATGGACAGTGAGAAACTAACCTTTGTTGTAATAAGCTTCGGAGAAAAAGATCTAGAGGATGTTTGTTACTGTGGCAAAAATTATCTTGTGCTGACTGATACATAATAGTACTACCTCATTCCCAGGACGGGATAAAGATCAAATGAAGACGTGAAGCCTTTTCACTTTTCTTTTTTTTTTTTTTTGGCCGAGCTTTGTGGCTTGCAGGATCTTAGTTCCCCGACCAGGGGTCGAACCCGCACCCCCTTCAATGGAAGTGTGAAGTTCCAACCACTGGGTCAGCAGGGAAGTCCCACCTTTTCACTGTAAAGAACTAGGAAATAACAACAGTAGTCTCACTAGTTTTAGGGCAGGGCCAGGAGAGTTGCCATGTTTTTAGGGCAGAGGAGAGAGACTAAGCAACAGAAACGATGTGATTTCCAGCTAGCACCTACCTGCTAAGGGGGATGTCGGGTGTCCAGAAGGGATAAATTCGAGCCACAGAATCTCTCATCTGTTCCTGGTAGCCCAGGTAAAAATAGGTATCGTGGGAGAATTTCAGGGCCAACATGTCTGTCGGGTAGTCCTGGAGAATCTGTTCCCACAGCTCACAGGCTTTCGGAAGGTTCCTGGAAGCCAAGAGAAGTTTCTCAGCAACACTGAACACAGTTCACACACGAGGAGTGGAAAAGGCTTAATTACCTGCAGTGTCACAGCCTGCACTGAACTGGTTAAAAGATACGTGTAAGTCTCTACGTTAGGTTGTGGCTCAGAAAATTGAAAAGCTTCAGTGGGCAGTTTTACTCTCTAATTCAAGAAAAAAAAAAAAAAACTAGTTTAAGAAGTTACCAAAGACAATTTCACCTGAGACTGTGAACCAGCTGCAGGAAGCCTGAGAGGTGGAATTCCACCCCTCTGCTGACATCCGCACCCACTTGCCAGGAAAACCAGGACAGAACTCTCTCTGTCACTGCTTCAGAACGCCTGTAGCATCAGCTCAGGTCACCCAGCTCTGCGGACATCTCTCCTGCCCAAGCACACACAGGGGCTGTCCTGGGGGCAGGCACCAGGGTCAGGACTCCCACACACAGGGGGACGGACAGCCACGGGAACGACAGATGCTCACAGGTGTGTGAGTGCCAGGAGCATAAGGGCGAGGGTTTTCTTCTTTCTCCTATCTCTTATCTATTTCTGTACTGTGGTCCTACTATTTTTGTAATGAAAATAATAACCAATTTATTTAACGAAACACAATAAGTTGCTTTGCATTCTAACCTGGGAGTCCTAACCAACCACATCCTCATTCAGCAGTCAGCTGAGGACAGAGCAGTAGGCAGGATGCGATTCTCAATCAGGCGGGCACGGGAGTCAGGGTGAGATTCCCCCCGAGGTCCCCTCCGCACGGCGCAGGGGCAGCCCATGGCATCGCCCAGTGTGGCCTCGGAGCGCCAGCCCCTGGGCCAGGGAGGCCCCTCACCCCTTGGCAAAGGTCTCTACTGCAGACACGTGCAGCCGTTCCCGCCGCGTCAGGGTCTGAGTTTTGGAAATCTCCACCATCGTCTTCACAGCCAGGTCCAGCTCCTTGTCCAGCCTCACGGAGCTTCCGGTGCCAATCAGAATGAGGCCATTAGCGATGGCGTGGCCCAGGGCTGGCGAAAGGTGGGGAAATAGCTGGTGATTCAGACGGTCCCACCCAGCCCAGCCCAGCCCTGCATGTGAAATAAACACCCAGCGTCCCAAGAGGGGCAAGCCAGGTGGCCGGTAGGGTGTGTCCCCACCGACAGCCCGGAACTCAGCTCCTCACCAGGCACGTGGAGGGCATTCTGGGGAGGGCCAACGTGTGGATCCCCTGCGCGCCCCTCACCAGGTGAACTGGTTAGGGGCTGCCTACGGGCTCCTCTGGAGCCCCACCTGCTTCCCTCGCAGCTGCTACTGTCACTACCAGCAGCACAGGGCCTCCCAAGGGCCAGCTGGTAGATGCTGTCGGGGGGCTGGTCCCCAGAGGAGAGAAACCATGATCCTGTCTTGGCTGTTCTCATTTGCTGAGAGCTCGGGGGCCGAGGAAGATGGGGGTGTGCCTTGTGGCCCTTGTAGCAGCCTTGCTGGCAGGTGTGCTGGCCCCCAGGTCTTACCTGGGCTTCCCAGCCCCCACCTTGACAGAGGAAGGGTATCTGCTGGCGTTTGGAACTCAGTCTTTGGCCCAGGCTTGGGATCTAGGACCCAACCACAGTGCAAGGACCACCCATGTGGCCCCTGCTTCTGACCTGGGGCCAGGGTCTGCTCGGAGAACCTGAGCCCACGCCTGGACACTGGCTCCCGTGACAGCTCCCTTCATCCCCTATTCTGCGCCCCTTGCCCTCACTGGGACCTGGCCACAGTGGGGGTCCCTGCTGCCCTCCCATCTTCAGCCCTTCTGCCCAGCCCAGAACCTCACCCACACTGGGCCACCCTCCTGGGGTTCCAGAATGCACTGGGCTGACCCCGCCCGCGTGCCTGCCGCGCACATGGCTTGCCTGTGATGGCAGCCCCTGTCACCAGGTCGGCCCTCCCCGTCACAGCTGCTGTGGGGCTGGCCTCGCTAGTGCCCAGATAGGCTGCAGTGGCCAGTTCTTGTGTTCCGAGGGGTCCAGGCTTTAGACTGAGACAGCCTTGTCTGATCCCAGCGCCCCAACTACCAGCTGGGTGGCTTTGGGTATATTTCTTACTCTCTACTCTCTCTGAATCTCAGTTTCCTCATAGGAGAAATGGGATCAGTGTCTTAAGGAGAACGTTTGAAAGACACCTTCTATAGAACCTGGCATCTTTATGGGAGCAGCTGTTATTCCAAGCACAGTGGTGGCTATCACCTTCCCTCCCTCCCAACCTGGTCACTGCCACCAGCCCTGCCCTCCCCAACCCAGCTGAGTCCTGCAGTCAGGGAAACAGTGAGGGGCTGGACTTGTGAAACGGGGCTCCTCAACCCAGGGAAAGCATCACTCACCGAAGGTCGGATCTGCCGCTTTGAGCTTTGACAGGCAGCCCTCAACGCCACCAAGACTCTGGTCATTGGTCCATTTGACGTACTGAAATTTAAAAGGTTAAACAAAGCTGTCCCCAGGGAGTTTTTAGTTCATGTAAATGAAGGCTTGTTTCTAAACCTTGATTTTTTTTTTTTCTTTCTAGAACACTGGTATTTTTCTGGACCTTGGCTCAAAGAAAACATAACTGGGTTGATTTCATACGAAGAGGGTGAATACATGGAACTCAAGGCACATTTTCTAAGGCTGGTGAGGCCACCATTTCCAAAAAAGAAACATCTAAAGGAAGGCTCTTCCTGACAGGTGACCTGCCCACAGTGTCGGCCTCGTCAGCCCCAAGAGGAGCCTTGACACTGGGTATCAAAATAGGAACCTTGCTACTTCCTATTCATTCCTTTAAAAAAGAATCACAGTAAACATTCATTACAGAAAGGAAGAGGCATGAAAGCCAAAAGATCAAAAGTATCCTTAATCTCATCTCATTATCATTTTTGACAATTTGGTGTATTTGTTTCTAGTCTTTTTTTTAATGCCTAATTTTTTTAAATAAATTTATTTATTTTATTTATTTTTGGCTGCGTTGGGACTTCATTGCTGCGTGTGGGATTCTCAACCGCTGCGCCACCAGGGAAGCCCCTAATTTTTTTTTAAATATTTATTTATTTATTGTCTGTGTCGGGTCTTAGTTGTGGCACGTGGGATATTTCGTTGTGGCAGGCGGGCTTCTCTCTTGTTGTGGCGCGTGGGCTTTGTTGCCCCGTGGCATGTGGGATCTTAGTTCCCCAACCAGGGATTGAACCAGCGTCTCGTGCATTGAGAGACAGATTCTTAATCACTGGACCACCAGGCAAGTCCCAGCAAACACATTTTAAATGAAAAATACCTGACCCGGGTCTTAATTTTTAAAAATCCTAAAACCATAATAAAGCATTAGATTTTAGAATGTGCCCTGTCAGTTGTCCAACTTACATCTACACAGAATTAGCACATGTATTTTAACAAGACACAAGGGAGCTGGCACAGAGACGCAGACGCACAGCAGGGGCGGGGGGAGAGGTGGGGTGGCTGCCGCTGCACTGGGGAACTTTCCCTGCAACAAACTGTGCTCTGCAGAGGCCAGAAGTTGCGGGAAGGGGACAAACAGACAAAGAGCTCAAATGCACACAGTGGAGGCCCTTGGCAAGCTGACAGCATTTCACCAGTAGTTTCTTGTATGGCCCTTATGTTTCTAGAGGCTTCCTTGGCCCTTATGCTGCATGGACAGAATCAGTAGGTAGCGATTTCACCGCCCTTGAAAAAGCCCAGCTCTAGTTTTCCATCAGTGTGTCTAGACCTAGGTGCATCCTGCCGCTCTAGCTCACTGCAAAAGTCAGCTCAGCTCTCTGGACCTCAGTTTCCCTACCTGTCAAGCAAAGTATTTGGGCCTTACCTCTGAGACTCCCCTAGTTCTAAGACTATAGGCTCCTTCACTGGTGTTAGAAATGACTGGTAATACGGTGGAAGGTCTTAGAACAGCCATAGGTGGGAGCAGTATATTCACAGATTAGCCCCAGGAGTGGGGCCCCATGCCTTAAATGGAGGAGCCCCATACCAAACCCTCAGCACCCTCACACGCCAACGCCTGCCACTTGGGGGACCTCTCAGCCATGCCCTGGGCAGGCAGAACTGTTCCCACGCCCTGGGGGTACAGGTACATGGATTCTGTTGCAATCGATTTCTCAAGTCTGCATGCAGTTTAAAAAGCATCCATCACTTTCTGAGACATTGGCTGGGGGGCTTTGGAGCGGCCTGAGCCATCGGTCCTGTGCAAGGATGCTTCAAAGCATTATGAAGAACGTTCAGGTCCCCGGGAAGCCCTAATATACTCAAGCTTACCAGGAGATTCGGGCAGGAATGGGGTTAACGGGCTGCATTGCTTATAAAATCAGGATAAAGATGTAAAGTTTTGAAAGCTTCGCATCCCGTGCCTGCTTACGTCATCCCTGACCAGCTTTACTTGGAGAGCACATCAGCTGACAGGCAGGTTTGGCTGTAAACTCAAGCAAGCTGTGTTAGCTGGGAGCTATAGCATCACTGTGCACGCGTGGAAGTACCATTTACTTGTGGCACGAATAAATGCAGCTGTAAGATGCACCCAAAAAAATGTTTTTAATGAAAATAAAAACCATTCACCAATTTAAGAAACCTCCCCCTGGACCGTTACAGAAGGGGCCACCACTCCACGGGCATACCTGGGTCAGGGTGGCATCAAACAGCCTGCAGGCCTCGTTGCTTGGGGTTGAGAGAGGGAGCCCGGCATCCTTCCAAGCCTACACACAGCAAGAAAGGGTCTTATTCCATGTAGCCCTGCAAGCAAACACACAGGATCCCCAACCCCCAAGCACCAAAGATGCTAATGCCTGTCATCCTGCAGGTATGGGCTTCCCATAAGACCCGTCCTTGTGGGGCAGGCACAGACTCCCAGATTTCACAGATGGTGCAGTGTGGAGAGAGCTGAGCCCTGGGTGGGACAGATCCTGACGCAAATCCCCGGGGCCTCTAAGTAGCTGAGTGCCCTCAGGCAAGGTCCTCCCTCTGACCCCTGTCTGGCCCCGCTGTGAAATGGGGCACTGGAGGATACATGGGGTGACTGTAAAGTGTCTGCCAGGGAGCAGACGCTCAGTAAGGGGGAGTCCATGATCAGGCGGCAGGGAGGTCTGCCAGGACAGAAGAAGGGCTAACGCTGGAGGGCAAAACCAGGAGGGTGGTCCTGCCACCTGGCTGGCAAGGTGCCAACCACCAAGACAATTCCTCTCATCTCCCCACTTTACCAGATAGTTCAGACCTTCAGGAAACATCCCCAACTAACTGAACTGTTCAGTGTAATCGCTGTCTCGGTGTCTTGCCAGGGGCGCACAGACAGGCGACTCCCCGGTATGGAGAAATGACCTTTACTCCGGCCAGCCCAGCGGGCGGCTCCTCGGAGTGGCTATGCGCAGGTCCCCTCGCTCCTCTGAACGCCCCTTCCTCAAGTGCAAAATGGGTCCAGGCTCCCTGACCCCGCGAGTCCCGTGGGAGACCCTCACTAACGCCCAGCGTCCCCGCTGTGTCGCGCCGGGGTTAAGCTTTTTAGGAGGACCTGGGGTCTCCGCGGGGCGGGGCCCCGCGCCGCAGATTTTCCGGAGGCGGGGGTCACAGTAGGGTCCTCTGGTCCCTTCCGTGCGCCCAGAAGGCGTGCCCGTCTCTCGGGGTCCCTGTCCCCGCCGGACCCCTGGCAGGGCTGATCCCGCCACTCCCGGGGTCGTGGGGCCGCGGGGAACCCGGGCGGGGGCGGCCTCCGCGTACCTGGCAGTCGCGCAGGGGCGCGGTCGTGGCCATGGTGCTGGGTCGGTGTCGGGGGCGCGGGCTGCGCGCGCCGCCGCGGGCTTCCGGGTTGGGGGCGGGGAGTCGAGTCCCGGGGGCGAGGCGGGGCGGCCCCCGCTCTCCGCTCGCTCACTGGTCCGCTTCGGACACACCCACCTCTCCGGGCCGGGTCCCCGGGCGGACCCCTCCGGCTCTCTTCTCCGGGGCTGCGGGAACCCGAGTCGGCTTGAGGCGAGCAGCTTTGGTGTGCGCCCCCGCCTCCCCCATCAGACAGGGAGCCTGGGGCGGAAGGGCCAGAGGGCGGGCCGGCAGATTCCTCCCTTTGGGGACCCTCTGGGAGGCGACTGCAGAGTCCCCTGGGAGGCAGAGGAGCCCTGGGACAGCGGTCGCTTTCAAGCTCTAAGTGTCCCACTCGGAAGCCGCGCGCGCGCGTGCAGACATTCACAGAGGTCATTTTGACCTGTGGTCGGGCCTTGCCCTGCACCCTCTCCAGGGCAGAGGTTGGAGTGGCGGGTAGGGAGAGTGTCTTTTTTTTTTTTTTAAAACATCTTTATTGGGGTATAATTGCTTTACAATGGTTTGTTAGTTTCTGCTTTATAACAAAGTGAATCAGTTATACATATACATATGTTCCCATATCTCTTCCCTCTTGCGTCTCCCTCCCTCCCACCCTCCCTATCCCACCCCTCCAGGCGGTCACAAAGCACCGAGCTGATCTCCCTGTGCTATGCGGCTGCTTCCCACTAGCTATCTACCTTACATTTGGTAGTGTATATATGTCCATGCCTCTCTCTCGCTTTGTCACAGCTCACCCTTCCCCCTCCCCATATCCTCAAGTCCGTTCTCCAGTAGGTCTGTGTCTTTACTCCTGCGTGCCCATCATCGGATGAATGGATAAAGAAGATGTGGCACATATATACAATGGAATATTACTCAGCTATAAAAAGAAACGAAATTGAGCTATATGTAATGAGGTGGATGGACCTAGAGTCTGTCATACAGAGTGAAGTAAGTCAGAAAGAGAAAGACAAATACCGTATGCTAACACATATATATGGAATTTAAGAAAAAAAAATGTCATGCAGAACCTAGAGGTAAGACAGGGAGAGTGTCTTTGAGACCAAAAAAATGTGAGGTGACATTTTCCCTCCCCTTCCCCTCACACCTGCAAGTAGCAGGGCCTTCTGGAGGCCCCTAGACCTGTGCCCCTGCAGGGCCTGGGCCTGGAAGCTGGTGTTGGCTGGTGGCAGCAGCTTTGAGCCACCAGTGGGATCAGGGGCTGTGGTAGGCAAGTCCTGGGTGTGGCCATGGGTGTGCAACCTGGACAGCCGTACAGGGCCTCACACTTAGAAGGGCCCCGTGCTTGGTGGAAAGCTCAGCTGTTGCCATCTTGAAATCTTTAACAGTTTTTGAACAACGTCCCCACATTTTCATTTTTCACAGGGCGCTGAAAATCATGTAGTCAGTCCTCTGACAGCCAGTCCATTAACAAGTGCATCTTTTCTGAATTCCCCACTGCTCACCACCTCCACCATCACTAACCCTAAACTGAGTCAGGACCAGCTCACTTGCAAACCGAATGTTCTTCCAGCCGTCAGGCCTGTCCCTTTGATTTCCCTGGACCCCGCTTAATTGGCCTGTCTCCTTGCATTCCTGCCCACCTACAGTCTATCTCCCTCACAACAGAAGGATGCTTCCCAACTGGAAATCAGATCAGGGCCCTTCCCTGCTCAAAACCCTCCAAAGACTTCCCAACCCACTTGAGATAAAATTCAAATGTATGATCGTGGGCTCTGAGGCTAAGCTTGCTCTGGTCATCAGCCATCTCTCCAACGGCATCTTCTACCACTTTCTCTCCTCTCTGCTCACTCCAGCCCCACTACTAACCTTCTCTCTCGTTCCTGCCTCCACGCATTTGAACGTACGGTTCTCTGTGCTAGCTATCCCGCTCCCTAGCTCTTTGTGAGCCTTGCTCCCTCATTTCTTGCTGATCTGCTGGCTCAGATGGTGCCTCCTCCAAGAGGCCTTCCTTGACTCCCCTATCTCATCCTCATTTCTTATCTCTTAACCTGCCTTATTTTTCTTCATATCACTTATCACACTCAAAATTATACATGTTATATCATGCCTGGGTTATTTTTGATTGTCTCTCACCCCCCATTATAATGGAAGCTCCTTGAGAACTGGGCCTAGGGCTGATGCCTAGAAAAATGTCTGGTATGTAGTAGGTGCTTGAGAAACATGTGTGAAATGACTAATGCTAAATGAATTAATGGGGAATGAAAGGAAAAAAAAATCAGAGATAATAAGGGATAATCAGGGATAATAAGAAAACAAATAATTAGGTGATAGACCTAAATCCAACCATATCAATAATTACATGAAATGGTGACAGTAATTACATTAAATGTTGATGGTCTAAGTACTCAATTAAAAGGCAGAGACTGACTGAGTGGATAAAAGAGTAAAACTCTATTAAATGTTGCCTATAAAAGACCACTTTAAACATAAAGACATAAATAAGTTGAAAGTAAATGAATGAAAAAACATATGTCCATAGACAGTAAGCATAAGAAGGCTAGTGTGGCTATTTTATTTTACTTCATCCCCCCTCCCAGTTTTATTGAGATATAATTGACATATAATGTGGCTATTTTAATACCAGGTAAAGGAAACTTCAAAACAAAGATTATCACCAGAGATAAAGACATCTCATAATGATACTAGGGGCAATTCATCTGGAAGATATAACCACAAATGTGTGTCTACCTAATAAACAGAGTCCCAAAATACCGGAGGCAAAAACTGACAGAATTAAAGAATGAAATAGACAATTCCACAGTTATAGTAGGAGAGATTAACGTCTTCTCTCAGCAATTGATAGAACAACTAGACAAAAATGCAGAAAAGACATAGATCTAAGCAACACTACCACCCCTCTTGACCTACCTGCCATCTACAGAACACTCCACCCAACAACAGAATACACATTCTTTCTTTTTCTTTTTCTTTTTTTTTCCACATTCTTTTAAAGTTTCATGTAACATACATTCAGACCACACGATGGGCTTTCAAACAAGTCCCAATACATTCAAAGGGATAAAAGTCATAGATTGTATTCTCTGACCATAACAAAATTAAATTAGAAATCAGTAACTGTGAATATTTTCACAGAAACTCCAAATATCTGGACATTCACAGGTCAAACCAAAACAGGGGAAATTAAAAATATTTATAATTGAATGATAATAAAAATATGGTAAGTATGTTGGATGCAGTGTTTGGCGGGAAACTGACAGCAGTAAATGCTTCTATTAGAAAAGAAGATCTAAAATCAATGACACAGGGTTTCACCCTAAGAAAGTAGAAAGACATACACACACTGCTATATATAAAATAGATAATAAAGACCTACTGTACAGCACAGGGAACTCTACTCAGTACTCTGTAATGACCTACATGGGAAAAGAATCTAAAAAAGAGTGGATATGTGTATAACTGCTTCAATTTGCTGTACAGCAGAAAATAACAAAACACTGTAAAGCAACTATACTCCAATAATAATTTTTTTAAAAAAAAGGAAAACTAAGTAAGAAACCCAGTGAGCAGTCCCCCCTCCCTCCACTCAGGGAGCCCACTGACGAAGGCTCTCGCTTTCCACCACTTTGTAATGAGTTTTCCCGGATGGGGGGGGCGGGCTCCTGCTAGGGGTCTCCTTGGAGGGTCAGCAGACTGCGCCACAGGAACCCCACTAACAACCCTGACCCGAGGCCTACCCAGGTGTGGGCACGGGCCAGCCGCCCGCAGCCCCTACCCCCACGCCCGCGCCCCGTGACCCCGCGGCCCGCGCCCCCGTGGCCGTTGGTCCGCGGCCTCCGCAGCGCCTCCCACTTCCCGCTCCCATGCGGCCGGGACCCGTGCTCCTCCTCCTGGGCCTGGGCCTGAGCCTGAGCGGTGGCCCTGGCCGCCGCCCGCCGACCCCGGCTCCTCGCGGGGCCAGCGCCACCGTCCCCAGGGTGCCCGGCTCGCCGTCCGGCGACCTCCTCGGCCGGGAGCCCGCCTCGGCCCGCCGCGCCCCGCCCGAGCCCCGGGTCCGCGTCCCGGCGCGGACCCGGGCGGCCGTGCTGCGCTCGGTCAGGGGCGCCCGGGGCCTCGGGGTGCGCGGCGTCGGCGTTGGCGGCGGCCGCGCCCGCCTCAGCCTACGGCCCCGCGCGGCCCCGGTTGGCGGCGCCATCCTGAGCGGCGGCCGCGACCTCTGTCTGCGGACCGGGCGGCTCACAGGCCCGGCTCCGCGCTGCCTCCGCGCGCACGTCCTGCGGCGCGCCCGCCGCGCTGCCGCCGCCGCCGCCGCCGCGCCCGCCCGCGTGGACCTGCAGCCGTCGGCGCCCGGCGGCCGGCTCTCCCTGCGCTGGCTCGCCCGCTTGCCGCGCTCCCTCGGGCGTCTGGAGTGGACCTTCCGCCTCGGGCTGCTCGGGCCCACGGTCCCCACGGCCGCCGCTGCCGCCGCCCGCGTGTCGCCCCGCTCGGCGGTGTCGCCCCTTTCGGCTCTGCCCCGCGGCCCACGCTCCTACGCGGGCTTAGTGGCCAGAACCAAGTGTCCCACGGACGGGCCCACGCCTGTCGTCTTAGAGGCTGTCAACCCGAACAGTTCCCAAGCCATGGAGTCCTCGGTGTCCTGTCAGATATCGCGCTCGGGGGTCTGTGTGTTGGATCTGGTGAGGATCGAAAGGAATGACGATTCTCCCCTGCAGCTGACCCGGAAGATGGAAGTCACCATCAATGCCACGGTTAAGGCCCGCTGCCCAATCCAGAGGTTCTTTGGTCAGTATTGGAAACTCTATTCCGTGGCCTCTGTATCTGACAAGCCGGACTGGACTAAACCTTTGCAAAACCCACCTTTCAAGTCAGAGAGCACTCCATCAAGTGTACGTATCTCCGCGCATTCTTTATCTTGGGGGGTGTATCTGCTTAATTTCTCCGTGTACATCGTCACATATGATCCAAAGATACCTCTGAAGAAAGACTCAGATTCCATCTATATCATCATTGTTAAAAGTCCCCTGCAGGCGGTTATTCCTGGGGATACCAACATCACAGTTAATTTCACAGATGGGCTGACTCTGAATGGAAATATGTCCTCTGATCCAGATGCAGAAAACCCTTTAGAGGGACTTCATTTTTTTTGGTACTGTACCACAGACCCAAGAAACTACGATGGCCATGAAATTACAGTGAGGAGCAAGGAAGTCTGTCTCCCAGAGCAGGTTGATCTCAGGTGGACATGGGCCTCTGGTCCTATACTCACACTTTCGCCGGAAACACTTCACGGCGGCCGTGTGTATTTTTTCAGACTGGTGATCCGGAGGAACGACAGAACAGCATTTATTGATAGGACAGTGCATGTGCTCCAAGGACCGACACCTGTAGCAAGCATTTCATGTATTGAAAATTGTGATACAGTTTTGATTATATCAGAGAGATTTTCTTTGTCTCTAGAATGCCCACGTTGTAAAGCAGGCCGTGATGTCTATCGATGGTCCATTCTGTCGTCTTCAGGTGATAAGATGCCATTTGATTGGACGGGGCAAACAACAACAGGGCGGAATGGTGCATATTTGTCTGTAAAAGCTTTCGCTTTTCGGCGTTTCGTTGAAGATAAGTTTTGGATTTCTCTAAGTCTAGCAACCTGGGGTGGATCGAGCTTGGTCTTAAGGCATCCCTTCGTTATTCACCACGTCCCTGAAACCACAGAATGCAAAATTGATCCAGCTGAAGGAATTGCATTCATTACTAAATTTGTTGTCCATTGTAGTAGTTTCAAGGATAAGAACATCGTTCTTACATATAAAATAATAGTTCCTGATGTGCGTGGTTTTGGTGAAATCAGTTCTTTAAAAGAGAATAACTTTGGGTCCATCCTCTATTGGGGGAAGGATTGCACAGCGCCCCCTTCCTTTCTCCCTGTTGGTGTGTTAGCCAATCATTATGCCTTGAAAATATACGCTCAGGCATATAATACCTCTCTGGGAGCTTTTTCTCAGGTGACTTTGTACGCCACTGTACAGGCTCCCACTGACATAAACTCATCAAGGACTGTGCTGCAGGAGTTATTCAATTCCACTATGGGACCAGATTCATCACTGTCTACTTTGCTTCAACAGCAGGATTTTTTACCTGCAGGTTATTTAATGTATATTGTAGCTTCTGTCTTGAATAGCATGAAAACCGACTCACATCTGCAAGCTGACCAAATTAGACTCCGAGAACACCTTTTCAATCAGTCTTTCATTCTTCCTGTAAACACTTTGGTGGAAATTAGCCAGGTGGTCATGACTGTTACTAAATTAACGCAGAAAACCTCTGAGTTCTCCTCGCTTGCTCAGAAACTGGCCACGGTGAGGATTTGGCAAGCAAGCCAAGCCCTCCAAGAGTGTCACCAGAGAGATAAGCACATTTCTTCTGAGCAAATAGAAAGTGTGAGCACTGGAATATTAACAAGTTTGTCTAATATCCTGAAACTGATGGTTCGTCATGAAGTGGTCGAAGAGCCTTTCCATGTCATCGAATCTCTAGCAGAGACAGTATTGGCTGTAAAAGTGCCAGAGGATAAGACCACTGCAATGAGGACGTCCAACTTTAACATGTATGTCAAGAAAACGGAAAAGTGGAATGTTACCAAGTTTTTCAGCACTGAGAAACACTGTCGAAATTGTTTTTATCCAACCCTAAACGTGAGCAGCGTTCCTAGTCTGCCTGCCAACGCTCCAATTTCTACAATGTTTTGTGAGTTTGCAGATGACCCTTTCCCTTGGCTAAATTATGGGGAAAACATTTTGACCGAGGTGGTTGGATTCCGAATGACAGGAACCGAGGCCACCGGTGACGTGATTGAGATCACACCTGATGTAGTGGAAGTGTACCTCATCAGAAAAAACTTGAGCTTTGGGACTTTTAATCTCACGGTGGGCCCCAGCAAGGAGTCTCCTAAAGCGAATGAGTCGTTGAGAAAGACGACGGGGGCATTTAGCTTTGACGTGGACAGCAGAGCAGGGAAGGAGGTGTTGATCCACATTGTGACGGAAGTGGCCGTGTTGTTCACGGTGTTGGTGTATGCTGGCCATCAGATCACACCCACCGCTTTGATCGCCACCTACCTCGTGCCCCATCGCATCCCCCCAGTTGCCCAAGACAGTGACCTGTTTGACCCTGACTGTACAGTGGCGGAGGCCCGTGTGGTTTGCCTTCCCCCATCCCTGTTGCGGGTCATAGCTCAGCGAACCAGCTCCTCTGAGTGTACCGTCGCTGTGGTTCTGCAGGCACCTCATTTTGTCCTAAAGCCCAGTGACAAGTTGGTGAGAATTTCTGTTTTCAGCACTCAGTGCTTGGACATGTATGGGATCCAGAGCGACTGGAGAGAAGACACCTGCGCTGTCGGAGAGAAGACCACCTGGCAGAAAGTGCACTGTATCTGCAAGAACCCAGGGCGGGCCAGGCGGCAGCTGGACGCAATGAAACTAGCCAACCTTCACCTGCGTACCCACTATTTGACGGCCAAGGTGATCGTGGTCCCTAACCCCGTGGATCTACGATTAGAGGTCATCAAGAACGTTACCCAAAACCCCGTGACCCTCTTCACTGTACTTTTCATTATGCTCTTGTACATAGTCCTAGGGTTCTGGGCCTTGCACAGAGATGAAATGGACAAGTGTCTTAGGGAGCATGTGGTAGTTCTACCTGATAACGATCCTTATGATAATGTATGTTACCTAGTCACCGTTTTTACAGGAAGCCGTTGTGGGTCTGGGACCAGGGCCAATGTCTTTGTCCAACTGCAGGGAACAGAGAGTAGCAGCGATGTGCACTGTTTAAGCCATCCACAGTTTACAACCCTCTACCGAGGAAGCATCAGCACTTTCCTGCTAACGACGAAAAATGACTTGGGGGACATCCATTCCATCCGCGTGTGGCACAACAACGAGGGCAGGTCCCCTAGTTGGTATTTAAGTAGAATCAAAGTGGAGAATCTGTTCAGCAGACACATCTGGCTGTTCATGTGCCGGGAGTGGCTTTCTATTGACACCTCTTTGGACAGAACCTTTCAAGTAACCCCCCCAGATAAGTCTCTCAACAGAATGGATTTTTTCCTTACAGATTTAAGTTATAGGCTGGGGAGAAGCCACATGTGGTTCTCTGTTTTTTCTGGTGTCATTGCTACACCGTTCAGTAGGCTCCAGAGACTGTCCTGTTGCTTAGCCATGTTGCTGTCCTCCCTTCTGTGTAATATTATGTTCTTTAATCTGAATAAAGAAAAAGAAGCGGAGTCACAAGAGGGGAAGTACCTCAGGTCGATGGTGATCGGGATGGAAAGTGTCTTAATTACCATCCCTGTGCAACTAATGATCACGTCTTTGTTCATCTATTCCCAGAGGAGACCTCAGGTGACCCTAAGGGAGGTCGCTCCTCGGAAGCATCCGTGGACCCCAGCAGCAAGTGAACACTGGGAAGAACGATTAGCAAAGTGGCACGCTCATGAAACTGGCAACGAACGCTCCCAGGAGCCTGAAAAGCTTCCACCTACTAGGAGAAGTCCTGGACTTCCCAAGGCTTCTGTCAAGACCACCTCTAAAAGACGGCCCCAGCCCAAGCGAGCAGAAAGCAAGGTCTCCCGCACCCAAAGAAAAAATAAAAACGCCAATAACCCAAACGTTGAAGACAATCAAAGTGTTTCTCCTGGAGAGCACCCTCGCCAGCCCGGTGCTACACCCCTCAAAGAGAAGACCAGGATTGTTCTGCCGTGGTGTTGCGTTTATGTCGCATGGCTCTTGGTTTTTGTCACTTGTAGCATATCCTCATTCTTTATTGTATTTTATGGACTGACTTACGGCTACAAAAAGTCAATAGAATGGCTGTTGGCATCATTTTGTTGCTTCTTGCAGTCAGTTTTTCTGGTGCAACCATCTAAAATTATAGTCGTGTCAGGCTACAGAACAAGTAAGCCCAAGTATTGTGAAAACCTTCCGTGGGTCGGCAGCTGTCGCTACAGTGAGATCGAGCTGCAGAGCATCACGCAGAACCCAGAGGAAATGCGCAGGCGCCAGCAGCACATCGTCCAGCTCCGAAGCTCGAGGATGTACCAGCCCCTCACTGAAGACGACATCACGATATTCAAAAGAAAGAAGAGGATCAAGAGAAGAGCTTTCCTGTTCCTGAGCTACGTCCTCACTCACTTCATGTTTCTGGCCCTCCTGGTGAGCCTGGTCACCCTCCTACACCACACCGACGGCTTTGACTATAATCGGTTTATTCGGGACCAGTTCTCTGTGGATCTGGCGTCGGTGACCAAGCCGGAAGACATCTTTCGGTGGCTGAACAGCGTGCTGTTGCCTCTGCTCCACAACGACCTGCGTCCCACCTTTCTCCCGGAAAGCTCCTCTAAAATCCTCGGCCTGCCACTGATGCGGCAGGTGAGGGCGCAACCTGGAGAGAAAACCTGTCTGCCTGCCGAACACTTCACGCAGGACAGCCTCAAAAGAGAGATTCACTGTCACCCCGAATACGGCACTGACCCAGAAGACACAAAAAGCTACTCCGGGTTGTGGAATAGAGTTAGTAAGCGGGCTATAGACAAGACTACGAAAGGATTTACTTACAAGCCTCGAGAAAAGAGATGGGTGTACTATTCCTATGGGCTATTGCATACCTACGGGTCAGGAGGCTACGCGTTCTATTTTTTTCCGGAAGAGCAGCAGTTTAATTCCACACTGAGGCTCAGCGAACTCCAGGGAAGCCGTTGGCTGGATGAGAAGACATGGGCTGTGATCTTGGAACTAACAACTTTTAATCCAGACACCGCCCTCTTCTGCAGCATCTCAGTCATCTTTGAGGTCTCTCGGGTAGGAGTCGTGAACACTAGCCTGTCTGCGCACTCCTTCTCGCTTGCCGATTTCAACAGAAAAACTTCCGCAGAAATCTACTTGTACGTGGCCATCTTCATTTTTTTTTTTGCCTACGTTGTCGACGAGGTCTACATCATCACACAAGAAAGGTCCGCCTACGTGAAAAGTGTATATAATTTGCTCAACTTTGCTTTAAAATGCATCTTTACCGTGTTGATCGTGCTCTTTTTCAGGAAACACTTCTTGGCTGTCGGTATAATTCGGTTTTACCTGTCGAACTCTGAGGATTTCATTCCCTTTCATGCAGTGTCTCAAGTAGATCACGCCATGAGGGTGATTTTGGGTTTCCTGTTCTTTCTGACAATCCTGAAGACCCTCAGGTATTCCAGGTTCTTTTACCATGTGCGTCTCGCACAGAGGGCCATCCAGACTGCCCTTCCCGGCATCTGCCACATGGCACTAGTGGTGTCCGTGTACTTCTTCGTCTACATGACTTTCGGTTACCTGGTATTCGGGCAGCACGAATGGAACTACAGTGATATGATTCACGCCACGCAGACAGTATTCTCCTACTGCGTTTCAGCTTTTCAGAACACGGAATTTTCCAGTAACCGGGTTCTCGGGGTCCTGTTTCTCTCATCTTTTCTGCTGGTGATGATCTGCATGTTGATCAACTTATTTCAGGCGGTGATTTTGTCTGCCTACGGGGAAATGAAGCAGCCCGTGTATGAGGAGCCCTCAGAAGAAGCAGAAGCAATGACCTACCTGTGTCGCAGACTAAGAACTGCATTTGGCTTTCTGTCCTTCAAATCCAAGGCAGAAGACCAACCCAAGTTCTTTGTCAACATGGTGTACGGGCAGCCAGAGAAGAACGACAGCCGGTACCTGGGGCTGAAGACCAGAAACATCAATGGGAAGAAAACGGTGTATCTCGTTGTGTGATCCATGACGGTTTCAAGGTCCACAGGCCGGCTTCTCTCAAATGCTCACTTTCTGGGATTAAGGAACTTGTGCTTTCTACCCGTGTCCTTCACAATGCACACCCCCTACGTCTGGAAGTGCCCGCAGTCTTGGCCTCCCCTTCGGAACCTGAGGCTGTCAGAATGCAGTGCAGCCTCTACAGAGAGAGGAGGAGGAGGACAGCCTGCGAGTCCTGGGTTGATTTCCCTGTGGCTGGGAAACTGGTGTCTTTGGTACCTGCTGCAGTTTAGAAGGTTAGAGACCCAGATTTGGGGTAGGGAACTCAAAGGCCCCCTCAACCTCACCCCACCTTGCCGGAAGCAGCAGGAAAATCCTGCTGCTTCTGTGCCCCCCCTCCCTGGGGCTGGGAGGCCAGCACTTGCGCTTCAGTGCCTCAGCCACGCTGGCTCTTCCCTTTGCACACAGGGCTGCAGGGCCTCCCCCACCCTCCCAACTCCGCCGCCCACACTGCAGCTGGGCCAGGGCCTTGTGATGAGTCTCAGGAGTTGCCCTCGTGCCTGGGAATGCAGGGATGTGGACCTGGGGGTCAGAGGTCTGAAGCTTCCCATCTACTTAAGGCCACTGCAAGTGAAAGATGTAAAGTGTAATAACGTTTTCTGGCCATGAGACGTGACTTTTATTAAACAGCAGTGTGTGTGGGTGTGGGTTCACACTGAAAGATAGTAAATATTCTATATAATGTGTACAGCAATATATACATCCAGGATCTGGGCTTTGGGTTATTGATGGCCTGGTGGATTGTTTAGAAAACATTGTTTAAGAAAAATAGGCTAGCAGCTGTTGGATTTTCACTCCGAAACATGCTCATTTATGTAGATGCCACTTTAAGCTTGATCCGAATTAAATGTGAGATTTCTTCTGTGAGACCTGCAGTGATTCCTGTGAGGGGATGTGTACACCGATGGCTCCTGCCCTCAAAGTCGAGGGCCAGCAAAGGGGGACAACGGGCAGGTGGGCAGCTGCTCTGTCCCAGGTGTTTGTTACTCACTTGGCGCCCCCGTAGTCCTGTGCTGCACGGGAATGGTCATGGCGCCCTGCACCTTGGCAGGTACGGGCATGCACACACGCACATGTGCATGCGTTCCATCGTTTCCTCCCCAGGGGAGGCCTGAGAACCTGGGTTGGGGGGTGGCCTTCTCTGCCAGCTGAGATAATGAAGAGGTTTTGTGACTCACCCAAGACCACCCACACGGTTAGGGTCAGAAGGTCAGTTCTGGGTTTTCTAACTGCCCTGGTGGGACGTCTCAGGTGTGGCTGGGCTCTGGCCACCGGTTCCAAGTGAAGTGCACGTTCATGGTTAGCACCCCTCATTACCACCTGACTTTTGAACAGGTTGGGAAGGCGTAAGCATGGGGGCCAAATGTTTACTTTTTCCTGGGGTCTGGTCAGGTGCAGTCACCCATGGAATGCAGAACGGGGGAGTGTAAGCCCCAGGTGATGTGCAGGCGACATGGGGCAGGCCTTGCCCTAGAGGCTTCGAAGACCCAGGCAGACAAGGCAGACTCGGGTACTCTGTGGCTGGGTACACCCAGACATTCTTCCCAAATTTAGGATCAGCTGAAGTCTCTACCCCTCTGGTGCTGTGGGAGGCCGAGGGTTACACTAATTGGCCTCGCTTCCCTGGAAGAAAGCCCCCAGGCCCGCATAGCATCTCATGATTGGGAGCGGTGAGTGACAGGGTCATAAAGGCAGGGTCCAGGTGGACCGTCCAGGAACAAGGCGGGGGTGGGGGGTGGCGTGGGCTGAGTGATGACCAGGGACAGCAGCTGCAGGCCCCTCAAAGGAGACAAGACTGTCACCTTGTGGCTACAGCGAGAAGTCTAGCAGAGTCACAGGGCTGTTTCCACGCATACTGGGAGAGCGGGGAGTGCCAGGGGCCTTCTAATGATAGAGCAATGACAAGTATTTACATAGTTTAGAAATATTAGAGGTGCCAATTATAACATTGTAAGTGTGAAAATTAATAAAGGGACACCTCACTAAAATGGAGTCGGGAGGCCAGAAGTGGGGGCTCTCATGCACGTACCACTCAGGCCAACACTGATCCCAAGGGGAAGAGAGGTACCATCCCTCTCTGGCAGGAAGCGATGCTACTTTACTAGGCAGCAGGAGGAAGGAAGGTTTTCTCCTCGCCTGGCAACAGCCCAGCCAATAAGAGACTGTCACAACTCACACTAGATTTCCTACTCCCAGTTTCCTCCAATGGACAGTTTGTTTATAAAAGCCCCGCCCAACTTCCCTTTCTCTATAAAAAAAGGTCCCTCTCCTTTGCTTTACCAGACTTACGCGTCCCAAATTGCAATTCTTTGCGGCTCCCGAATAAACCCATTTTGCTGGTAAAAATAACCGCTGGTGAAAACAAAACTGGCTGTTTTATTGTTTGAGGTTAACATCAGGAAAACAAAGTAACGAGACAATCAAAATTTAGAAGGTCATTTTCACAGGACATGGCAACAATTTCTAAAGGAGTCTTTTAAGACGCCTTTGTTCCCATCAGTTTCCAGGGATAGGGTAGGCATATTCCAGAACAAGTTGGAAACAGTTATGAATACCCTCCCAAGTCTGTATTGCACAGGAAAACCAGATAAATGTTCTTGGATTTGTTCTCCATGTAGCCCCTTATTAACTCAGAGTAGCAGAACAAGTTTTAGATGCATAGAGATGGCTCCATCTGAAGCTCCATGTCCTTCATCTACCTCAAACCCTTTTACCAATTATGAAGACTTGCATTTGTGAGGCCTGCTTCTGTATGTATATTATACTCTGAAATATTTACTTCAAAGCTATACACCGTTAAAGGCATTTTGTCCATTGCAATAAATTCAGGTCTGTCCATGCATCCTCCCTCCACCACTCCACAGAGGGCCAGCCTTTCCCTTGAACCAGAAGAAACTTCCAGTGTCTCTTGTCGTGGAAGACTTCATCTGGGTGCTGGTTACACTGCTGTACTTACTTTGTGGGAATTCATCTTGCCGCACACTTAGGAAGTATCTACTTTTCTGTATGTATGTTACGCTTTTAAGAGTTTACTTAAAAAACTAAGGCCTGCTTCTGGAATTTCATTAGCACTAAAATAAAAGTGCCAGCCTTTGGACGTTAATTTTACTGGCAGAAATGGAGAAACGGATGAATAAGATTGGACTTAACAGTGAAATGAGGTATGTAAGGAATTAATCCTCCAGAGTTACCCCCTCCTTTCATTGCTGTTAGCAACGCTTTGCTTTAGATTCTAATCTGCATTCAATTCCTTATTTTTCAATTTTCAAATTTCCTTTCTCAGGCTTCATTTGAATATGCAATGTATAATACTTGTTTAGTGTCATGATCTTTAAAAAGCTTAATCGTTTAAGACAACACTTATACAAGGTCTTATAAGTCCTGCCACAACATCTAGGTAGCTATATTCCCTGGCAAGGCCACCCCTAACGTCGTGGGGTCCGGGCAGGATGACAAACATCTGCATGTCTGAGTATTTAAAGGTTATAAAACAAGTTTACAAACCATCACATAAAATATGTTATAGCCACCTAGCTTGACACCCACACTTTCATAAGGGCAAAATTAAAAATTATTTGTAGTGCTATGGTTTTTATATAGATGAAAATGGGCAAAATACCAAAGATAACTGAATTACTATTGTGTACCTCTGGGTGTTCTGTTGGTGGGCCACTGATCTTTGGATGAGTAAAAAAACATACATAATCCATAAATTATTGTGTGTGTATTCCATAAAGTTTATTTTTCTTGAATTCATTTCAGAAAAATCATCGTGTTGATAATAACAAAGATGTTCACATAACTGTGTTGTATCGACAATAGTGCCAAGTTAGACAAACTTTCCTGAGTCTTAATAGTTTGCAGATACCTTTTAATGATTTCAGCTGGGAGAAACTTCACTCTGCTGAGGGAGTAGCAACTGGAACTGTCAATAAACCTCTGAAAGCTTTAGATTTAAAATTGAACCAGGAGTATTGATATCATGTTTAAACACTGTAAGGAGGGTGCATATAAAAAGATCATATTATATTACCATTATATTAAACATCATTATATTCTCCTTTCGTTTCATCATATAAATGTCATCATTAATTCATTGTTATCATCATTTGTTATAACACATCTAGATCCATCCAGTTTTTGTTTTTGGTTTTGGTTTTTTTGCGGTACGCGGGCCTCTCCTGTTGCGGAGCACAGGCTCCGGACGCGCAGGCTCAGCGGCCATGGCTCACGGGCCCAGCCGCTCCGCGGCATGTGGGATCTTCCCGGACCGGGGCACGAACCCGTGTCCCCTGCATCGGCAGGCGGACTCTCAACCACTGCGCCACCAGGGAAGCCCCATCCAGTACTTTTTAAGTTTTTCACCTTTCACATTTTTCAGCACTGGGATTTTATAAAGAAAACTGAAAACTGCAGTGGGTTGCTCACTTTGTTTAAATCTCTGTCGGATAGAGACTATGATGATCCACAATGGTCAGAAAACAGTCTCTACGGAAATTAGTTTTGGGATTATTTGTGCACGACTCTTCTTCAGACTCCAGTAGATGTTACTGTTTCCTAGTTCTAACTTCCCTACGTTGTATTTGAATGTCATTTTAGTGGGTTTTAAAAAAAAATGCACTTTATTCTTTAGAGCAGTTTATGTTTACATCAAAATTGACAGGAAGTTGCAGAGATTTCCCATATACCTCTGCCCACACACAAGCATAGCCTCCCCATTGTCACCATCCCCTGCCAGAGTGGAAGATCTGTTATAACTGATGAACCCGCACTGGCACACCATAGTCACTCAAAGTCCATAGTTTACATTAGGGTTCACTCAGTGTTACACATTCTATGGGTTTGAATAAATGTATAATGACATATCCACCATTATACCATCATATAGAGTATTTTCACTGCCCTAAAAATCCTGTGTCCTCAACCTTTTCATCCCTCCCTCCCCCCAACCCCTGATCATTTTAGTATCTCCAATATTCCGCCTTTTCCAGACTGTCATAGAGTTGGAATCATACACTATGTAGCCTTTTCACGTTGGATTCTTTCACTTAAGTCACATGCACTTACGTTCCCTCCATGTCTTTTCACGGCTTGATAGCTCATTTCTTTTTAGTGCTGGGTAATATTCCATTGTCTGGATGGACCACAGTTTATTTATCCATTGACCTACTGAAAGACATGTTGGTTGCTTCCAAGTTTTGGCAATTATGAGTATGAATAAAGGTGTAATAACCATGTGTGCAGGTTTTTATATGGACATAATCTTTCGACTCCTTTGAGTAAATATCAAGGATCATGATTGCCGGATCACATGGTAAGAGTATGTTTGTTTTGGTAAGAAACTTCCAAACTGTCTTTCAAAGTGGCTGCACCATTTTGCATCCCCACCAGCCATGAATGAGGGTTCCTGCTGCTCTACATCCTCGCCAGCATTTTCTGGTGTCAGTGTTCTGGATTTCGGCCATTCTAATAGGTGTGCAGTGGTGCTGTTTTAACTTGCATTTCCCTGATGACATAGGATGTGGAACATCTTTTCATATGCTTATTTGTCATCTGTGTATCTTCTTTGGTGAGGTGTCTGTTAAGGTCTTTGGCCCATTCTTTAATTGGGTTGTTTGTATTATTACTGTTGAGTTTTAATAGTTCTTTGTACATTTTGGATAACAGTCCTTTGTCATATACACCTTTGGCAAATACTTTCTCTCATTCTGTGGCTTGTCTTTTCATTCTCTTGATTTAGTGCTTATGTCACATGCAGTTTCTTTTGGGAAACCATTTTTTTCTAAAGCTTTATTAGTTTTAATCCTTTTGGATTTTTTTGTAAGTTTTTTCTTATATCAGTAACTGTGGACAGCTCAAATCAAAATTAACTTTATTTTCTGACAAAGTCCATGATTTGCTCTTTGAATATTATTTCACTTTAACTCTTCCAGTGCAGCTCGTAACTTGTCTAAACTGTCTAATGGCTTTGACAGCATTCGTGGGTTAACCAGTCATGTATCTCAGAGTGGATTTAGGTCAAATTTTAAATGCTTTATCAAGTGGCCCATCTTTGGGCAGATCCAAAAATAAAAACCAACAGTATGTAATCTTTGAATTGATCCAAAGAGTGCCATTGCTGTAAGCACAGTTGAGGTCACATGCTCTAGTAGCAAAATGTAAGGGCTCGCTAATTCTTGAGGCTCACGGCAGGAGCCGCTCTGGCTCAAGTCCAGAAATAATTCTTGTTGCCAGCATTACTAAGACACCTTATATAATCCTTATTTCTCGATTCCCCAAAGGAAGAAGTCCCAGACCTCAGGGCTGCTGGCTTCATAATCATCCCCTAGCCCCGTAGAATGGTGTCTCGAATACACAGGAGTAGAGGGGCCAGGAGTGGGGTGGGACGGCCACTGCAGGTCTAGGGAAGCCCTTGTCTGAGCTTCGGGACGGGGAGCTTGGGGTCCAGTGCAACTTTTGGTAGCTGACGTGGTTGGTGCTGCAAGGTGAAGACCTGGAAGTTGAAGGATGGTGGTCCCAGATGACGACGGGCATTGCAGGCCACTTAGGCCACTTTAAGGCTTTGGAGGAGTACAGTGACAAGTCCCGGCAGCACACAGCTTTTAAAGGTCGCAGGAAGCCACAGGGCTCGTTTTGAACCCATTCTGTCTGTTGCCTTAGGGCACATAGTAATCACTGCCTGCAGCCCTGGCCCCAGGCCCCGGAGGCTTCCGTCCTAGTTGGGGGACGGGTAGCATAAGAACTAAGACCAGGGCATTTCGGTCCAAAGCGCGCGGTGAGAGAAACCACGTGGGGATGGAAATGCGGCTGAGGCCGGGTTATCTGTGGGCCGCGCACCGGCGGCACCGACTCTGTAGAGCCCGGTGGGAAACCCAGAAAGAAGCTGAGAGTCTTGGAGCAGCCAGGACATCAGGCCACGTCGGCGTGAGGTAGCCAGGTGCTGCCCAGCCGCTGCCAATCCCGAGAGATCGCGTACGGGAAGCCGCAGCTAGACGGAGGACGAGGCGGAAGTCCGCCACGAGGCCCCGCCCCGCGACTCACCGCGCACGCGCCGTGGGCTCGGCGGAGCGGCGGCGGCGGCGGCGGCGGCGGTGGTGGCGGTGGCGGTGAGTGGCGCGGCCTGGCGGCTTGACGGGGACGTGTGCGGCCGCGTCAGGGTCCCTCCCGGTGCGTCTCGTGCGTCCGGCTCGGCCTGGGTGCCTCCGCGGAGCCCTGCGGGGTTCCGAGCGGCCTCCCGCGGCGCTGGGGGCGGGCCGCGGAGCCTGCGCCCCGGCTCATCCCCCGTCCCGCCCGGACTGCGCGGCGGCGCGGAGCCTTCCGAGTGCACGTCGGCTGATTCGACATAACCAAGGGAAAATCAATGAACTTGATGACAGGGCAGTAGAAATGACCCAAACTGAAACACAGAGAGAAAAGAGTAGAAAAAAACAAACCCAGAGCAAAGGGTCCAAGCACCGCGGGACAACATCAAAGCTTAACGTATTTGCGGTTGGAACCTCAGCGGGAGACAAGAAAGAATGGGGCAGAAGAAATATTTGAAGGGTAATGGTTAAGGATTTTCCAAAAGTAATGAAAGATACTAAACCACAGATCAAAATGCTTAAAGCAGCACAAGCAGGATAAATAGGTTTAAAAGGAAAAAAAAAAAAAGTAGTTGTATAGTCAAACTGTCGAAAGCCAAAGGTGAACAGAAAATCTTAAGGGCAGCCAGAGGGCAGTTCCATAGGTAGAGACGTTGGGGGAAACCCTCCAGGTGGCAGAAACAGCAGGAGCGAAGGCCGGGGCACGGGGGGTGGGGTGTGAGAAAGTGCAGGGAACACCTGAAGGACAGTGATGAAGCCACTTGAACTGCAGCCTGCTGCATGGAGGGGCGGGGGCTGGGCGGCAGAGCCATTGGGATGTAAGTCCCAAGTTGAAGAGGCCTTAAATGCCACGGAAGGGAATTTATTCTGTAGTCAGGTGGGGAGCCCCTTGGCTCTGAAGCACCACCCAGAGCCTTGAATTTTGTCATGCTTTTTGATGCATCTATTGAAATGATGGTGTGGTTTTTCTTCCTTTATTCAGTTACTCTCATGAGTTGGCATTCACTGGTTTTCGAATGTTGAGCCAACATTGCCTTCCTGGGTTGAATCCACTCTGTCGTGACTCCCTAGGCTTCTTATGTATTATTGAATTCAGTTTGCTAATATTTTGCTCGACATATTTGCTTGTGAAGGGTATTACTCTGTAGTTTTCCTGTAGTAGCCTTGTCCGATGAATGGTATCAGGGTAATACTGGCAGTTTTGGTGTCCATGTAATATAGGCCTCAAAATCACTTGGGAAGTGTTCCTTTCTCTGTATTCTGAAACAGTTTCTGTAGGTTGGTATTACTTCTTCCTTAAATGCTTGACAATTTGCTGGTAAAGACATCTGGGCATGAAGTTTTGCTGGTGTTCTGTTTCTTTTTTTTGTTGTCCTTTTTGTTTGTTTTTGCACTATTTCATTTTAAAGGAAAATTTTAAATTATGAATTCAGTTTTCTTAATAGATAAAGGGCTATTCAGGTTTTCTGTTTTGAGTCAGTTCTGATAAATGGTGTTTTTTCAAGAGATATGTCCATTTCAGCTAAACTGTCAGATTTATTTGGTAAAAAAGGTCACTGCATTCCTTTATTATCCTTTTAATGCCTGTAGTCTTAGTGATGTCCCCTGTTTCATTCCTCATTGTGGTAATTTGTATCTTCTTCCTGTTTTTCTTGATCGGTCTAATTAGAGGTTGTCAACTTTATTGACATTTTGAAATGACCAGCTTTGGTTTTATCGATTTTTTTCCTATTGTTTGCCCATTTTCTGTTTCTTTGATTTGTGTTATTTATTATTTTCTTCTTTCTGTTTATGTTGAGTTTAATTTGCATTTTTCTAGCTTCTTAAGGTGGAAAGTTAGATGACTTACTTTAAACCCTCTTTTCCAATTTAAGCATTTAAAACAGTGAATGTCCCTGTAAACACTGCTTAAGCTGCATTCTATGTATTTTGATATTTTGTATTTTAGTTTTCATTTAGTTCAAAATATTTTCTAATTTCTCTTGTGATTTCTTCTTTGAATTATAGTTTATTTGGAAGTATATCATTTAATTTCCAAATATTTGGAGATTTTCCGTGTATCTCTTTGTTACTGATTTTAATTATTATGGGGTTGGAGAATGTACTCTATGATTTCAGGCTTTTAAAGTTTGAGGCTCATTTTATGGCCCAGAATATAGTCTATCTTGGTGAATAGCTCAAGTGCGCTTGAAAAGAACGTGTGACCTTGAGCAGGTCTCGTCACTTACTCTGAACTTGAGGTGCCTTGTCCGTACGCTGCCCTTCTCACCTGTGGGTAAGAAGCAGGCAGTGGGGAGCTTTGAGATGTGGGGAGCTCTTGGTCCTGTAGGCGACATGCCCTGTCTTTTGACCTTGCAGATGGAGTGTGAGGCGGAGCGCCGCCCCTTGGGTGTGTTTGAGTGCCAGCTCTGTGCCTTAACTGCTCCGTATAGCTACGTGGGGCAGCAGCCCCCCGGCACCAAGTCTGTCGTGTGAGTACCAGGGTCCCAGCACCCCAGGGAGCCCGCCCAGAGCTGGCTGGCCTGTCTGACACAGGGCTTGGGTGTTGTGTCTGGGGCCACCCGGCCCAGGCTCTGGGCACTTCAGGTGTGACCCAAGAAGGCACAGGGCAAGGTTCGACGCCATCCGCTCTCCTAGAACCTCCCAGTCCCTACGTCCCTGCTCAGCCCAGAGCCCAGCACCTGCTCCGGCTGCGGGGTGGAAGCACTGTGGCTCAGGCTGAAACAGCTCAGCAGCTGGGAACGCAGGGAGCCGCAGAGGCCATTGCGTCTGGGGCTGGGCCTTGTCACTGGTCCCGCTGGTTCCTACGACGACACCTTCTCAGCGGGAAGCTGCCCGCCTTGCGGCTCTTGTACTGGTGGGAGTGAGCCCTGAGGACCAGCTTCCTGTGCACCTGCCCACGGATGGCCCACGGTAGAGCCAGTGGGTCCCGGGGCTTGATTCTTGACCTTCAACTTGTCCTCCATCAGAGTCCACCTTGTGGGGATCTGACCAGTACATTACGTGGGACCGGCGGGGGCCAGGCTGCTTTCCTCCGGCCCTGAGGAACCTGGGGTGTTGCCTCGGATCCTATCCTGTCTGTCTCCTTTCTGATGTGCGCTGTGAGGCCAGAACCTTAGCCAGCGTAAAGCGTCCTGTTCTCCCTGTGTGGAAGCAGGCAGTTTGGGAGCGGGTGTCATCCCGGAGGTGAGGGGAGGGCTTGGAGAGCTCGCATGGAGGCCTTGTGCCCGCCTGCCGCCCTGCTGAGTCAGGCTGGGGTCTGGGGGCTGAGTTGCAGCAGCCCTTCTTTGGGCCGAGGAGGAGTGGTTCTTTCCCTGCGGTCGACACGGAGCCTGGAGCAGGTCCCATTTCATCCCAGCTGGGCGCCACTGCTTGCCTCTCTGCTACTACTTGGTGGCACTGGGGGCCACCCCTCCCCGCGATGAGCACGCACGGTGACCAGGCCCTGGGGAGGTCCTTGCAGCTGGCTACCTTTCGTCAGCAGAGGTTTGGGCCATTCAGCCCACTGGCACCACTTCCTGCCCTGCAGCCTCCTGGAGGAGAGCTACGTCATGAGGGACCCCTTCACACCCGACAAGGACAGATTCCTGATCCTCGGCTCGAGATGCAGCTCATGCGGCAGGCTGGTGTGCGTGGGCCCGGTGGGTAAGCCACGTGCAGCTGGGGCCGCTTTCCCTCTCTCCCTGTGGCTGGGACCTCACGTGAGTGACTGTGAGAGAGGTGACATGTGAGCCTTTCCCAGGAACAGTGTGAGCAGCAGCCTTTCCTGGCCTTGGTGGTCCTGGGAGCCCTCACAGTCACGCAGCTGGTCTGCTGCATTATGGGTGGGTCCCTGCAGCCAACAGAGGGGTAGGGGACAGGCAAGCTGGGGTCAGAGGGTCTCATTGGGGTTTGAGGAAGAGAGATTCTTGGAGGCTCTCGGGGATGCTGCAGTGTGCATCCCATGGCACTCAGGCTCCTCCGTCCCCCTCTTCTTTCAGGAATGCAGTTTATTCTACTCCAAGAGATTTTGCCTCCCCTGTGTCCGGGAGAACATTGATGCTTTCCCTCAGGAAATTCAGCAAGACTTGGAGAAAAGGAAAGTGCCATCCAAGAGGCCTGCCAGCCAGCCTGGTTCTCGAACATGAGTCCAGTCGGGTACCAGGTCCGCAGCAGTGCGCTGCATGGGGCTCCTGGCCAGCGGGCTTCTGTGGCCTGGCTCAGAGATGGGGCCAAGCTGAGAGCTGCTGTCACTGACCTTGTTTCTGGGCCATCGGGAGCCGTGTCTGCAGCCAGAGGGAGCTGGGGTCCGCCTGCAGCAGCAACAGGGCCAGGAGCCACGCAGAGAGGGCGCCCAAAAGGCAGACCCCAGACCCCGGTGCTCCGAAGACCGCAGCACCCCCGCCCTCACGGCGCCCACCTTAGCAATTGGTGAGACACTGATTGTGGGCTCTCCACGTGCCTGCCAGTTCTTAGAGGGCAGGAACTGCTCTGTCCGATTCTGTAGTTTCCGCAGGACCAGCGCACACTGCCTGGAGGGTGTTAGAAACGTGTTTGATGAGAGTATGAATAAAGGTTTTACTGACCGACGTTTGTGCTGGGTTTCGTCTTCTGGGGCCACATTGTCCCAGGTCCGCTCTGTCACTGGACTCTACAGGTAGAGACCACGTCAGCTATGGGGCTGGGGGACTGTTCTGGGTTAAGGGCAGACCCTACAGCTGGGGATTGGTTTTCTTCAGACCAAACAAAACAGTTCATCTCATAGCATCACTGAAAAATCGCCAGGTAATTTTTAAAAATAGTTTATTTTTTAAAACCATTAAGGCAAAACTGTACCCTGAAATTAACTCTTTACATTCATCAGTCTTACAGTAGGACATTCCAAACATATAAGTTCCCGTAAATTCAGGATGGAAATCAATATATACGATCAGTTCAATCTCCTAAAGGGAAAATGAGTAAGACCCAAAATTTAAAAAAAATTAAAGTTATTTTATAGCCATTTTCTAATTGCCTGGAACCACTGCCAGTAAAGTGACTAAGAAGATTCCATTTGCTCTCCTCTGCACACCCCGGCTTCCTGCGGCCCTGGATTCCCCACCAGTCACACCCAGAGGGTCTGAGCTGGAGAGAGGGCGTCAGAGCCTGCTCAGAAAAGATCTGCTTTGGAATTGCTCCTGTTTAGTATAAAATACAAAGGGTCTGTCAGCCCCTAAATACTTTGAGAGTATAAGGCACCCAAGAACAGTAACGATAAACACACACCAAGGACTCAAGCTCAGTCCTGGCTTTGGGAACCTGCACCACTCTGCCGTGTGTCTGGCAAAGGCTCCCCCTGGGTTTGGATGTGACGGCCCTGTGGGTCCCGGGGGCGGTACAGATACACATCAGGAAGAAATCTGCCAAGGTATGGAAAACATCGTGTGGGAGACTCACGGGCTCCGTGGCTTCTGCTTTATACTCCGGGTTGGGCTCTGGAGGCTGGCAGAGACCCAGCCGTTGCCAATCACTGCCATCAGCATCTTTCAAATTGCAAAGCTCTTTGGTAACAACCCACAGGTAGTAACTCCCTGAAGAACAGACAGCTACTTACTACACAGGAATAGTTCATGGTCTCCAGCGGGGTCCTCCTGTGTGAAATCGGTGACTTCTGACCTGGGTCAGAGGCAACCTTGCTGGTAGAAACGATAGAACAGGCTCATTCGTGCTTCTTGCACGTGAAGCATGAGGAAGGGGACAGGTTTACAGGGAAATGAATTCCACATGGCTCAGGAGAGAAGGAGAGCTCTGATGTGTGTGTGCGCGTGCGTGCGGTTGTATTTCAGTTGTGATATTTCAGCTTCCTGTGTGTTTCCAACAAGTCCGAGAGCCAGGCTAGTGAGAGTATACGTCAATTAACACTGATTGCAGAAGAATCCCAATGTTTGCTGTTAGATGCATGATTGTGAGTAAAATATTTACATTAGGATTTTTTTTAAAAACCCTCAAATCACAGTATTTAAGATAGAGCTATTAACATAGTTTTTTTTACCATACAGTGTAGAAAAAATAGTGATACTCGAACCCGAATACTGTAATTTTACCGAAAACTGCACTGAGTGGTATCCATCTCGTGTGAGGTACATTTTTTTTTTTAGGCCTGAAAAAAGGACCAGACCGCCTGTGCCTTTAAAAAGAGAAGACATTTGCCCAAAGTGAATGATTTGACCTTGAAAAGATGAGCCACTCACTTGTGTTCAGGGCCTGGAGACTCAGCGGCCCCCACCCCTTGTCGGGGGAGCCAGGGCTCACCTGGGGAGCTTGTCTGCGCTCCGGCTGGCATGACGCTGTAATGTTCATCACTTAATGAATTTTAGATGCTGAGGGTGACAGCGGGGGGAGAAGGGCAAGAGAGGAGGAGGCTGGTGTATTACCTTCAGCGGGGAAAACCATGGAAGCTTTTCACATTCCACCCAAACTAGCAAACACATTTTAAATGAAAAATACCTGACCCAGGTCTTAGTTTGCTATCTGTGATGTAAAAAATTGCTATTTCCTCGATTTTTTTCATGTAATGCATTTAACAGCCGCGGGGCCTGAGGTCCTTGATGTTTACCAGTTGCTGTAGTCAAGAGGTGACGTTGACGTGGATGCAGTGTGGTCTTCTATGTGGCAAAGGATTCCAGAAGGATGTGACCGCATGTGTTCCCACTGGACCACGGTACATGGCTCCCCTTTCTCAGGGGGGTGGAAGTAAACGGTTACACTTCTCTTATCTCAGACTGAAATTCTGAGGAGCAGATGGTCTGTCGAGAGCCCCCCTCTAGATCTGAGGAGTCCGGGTGCCTCGAGCCGGGAAAGGGCGTCTGGAAATGAGCCCTGGGCGGCGGCTTCTCGCTCTCTGCCCTAACAAGCAGCCATACCCGCAGCAGCCCACTCTGCTGAGATAAGTTTAAGGACCTGCCGCGTTCCACAAACACAGCATCGTGCAAAGTGTTACATAATTCTTTAAGTGAAAGTGTGGAGACGCGTTGTCTTATTCTTTTCCTTGCAGAACTTCCACTATCACATTTCAGTTTGTCCCACAGTTTCCACAGAAGTAGGATGGGCCTCCTGTGTTCTGAGTCCTTTGCTCTCACTCCCGTGTGTTTCACGGGCTGAGGGTCCACGACCATTTTCCTGAATGGTATTAAAATGGCACCTAAAAATAGATACAAATCTCAGCAAAAACTTTTAGACCTCAACCTTTGGAGCCTAACCTTAGATCTTTCTGGGCAGAAGGTCCCTAGAGGAGAACACGCCACCGGAAAAGTCCTTGCACTGAGAAGGAGGAAAGCGCCCAGTTAGCGGGGGTGGGGACGCTGTCAGCAGTCACTGTCATGGCCCTTCGGCCCTTCGTTCGCTCCTCCCAGCCGAGCTGTCTGCGGAGCCTTCCTGCTGTGCCGCCTGGAAGTCACTGCTGTCAGGAAGGCAAGAGTCCCCTTAGCTGACAGCTCCATGCAAAGACTTGGTTGGTAAGAATCCATAATCCCGGGGGAGCCCCGTAAATCAGCTTGGAGCAACACTTAAGAGAAGCTGGGCCACTTACAAGACGAGAAGAATAAATACAGACAGTCTGTCTCTGGAACCGTCCAGCGCCCGCACCACAAACGCCGTGGGAACAGTGAGTGTGGCGAAGATCCTCCCTGGACACTTTTTAGTAATCGCTGAGCCCCCCGCTGGTGGCATCGGTCTTAGTTTGCAACTTCTATGGACAGTACAATTTCCTCGCATCTCCTGAGTCGACACCACTGTTGTGAACCTAAGAACAAGTGACCCCTCCAGGAACACGTGCAGCCCAGGCACCGGGCTAACCCACAGGGAGCGCCTCGCCGCAACCTTGCCCGTCTTAAATGCAGGGGCGGGAAGTGCGGGAAGCAGGCCACCCCTGGGGCTAAGCCTGCACCGCCAGGCGGCCCTTCGTCCAAGCTGGTGTTTTCCACTTGAAGACGGGGCTGAGGATTGGAGGCGACAGCAGGAACTTGCATCGACAGCGCAGGTGGGGAGCCGTGAGCACCTGGCACAGTCTTCCTCGTGGGATCTGCGCTTTGAAAGGCCACACGGGTGGAAGAGGCACTTGAAGGTGGCTGGTTTTCCCCCGGTCCCTGGAAGCCCCCATAAAAGGCCATGCCCGTGATCAAGTTGGTCTTAGCTGGGAGCGCCGGACTCCCTGGTTGAAACAATGGACTTATATTTAAACAGGACTTTTTAAGACATTCCAGAGACAGGTGTGGTCATTGGGTCAAGACAAAAAGAAAAAACCAAAAACCCTCCATCGTGCATCTGGCCACCAGGTGTCAAACGTGCCCAGTGTCACAGTGACTTGAAAAGGAGTCAGGCACAGAGGGGCACAGGTGGGGCTGGGGCGTGGCGAGGCCTCGTGAAGCCACGGTGTGACTAAGGCTTGCACGGAGGCATCTCTCCACCCTCATCTGCCAGGATTTCCCCCATGAACAGGCTCACGCATGGCCAGCAGGCATCGCTCAAGAGGAGGCGGCCCTGGGTGAGCAGGTCACCCGGGCCCTCGGCAGTGAAAGGGTGGAGTCCTAACCACTGGACCACCAGGGAATTCCCAAGGCTCCCTTTAAACAATAAAATAACTTTAAAACTCCACAAAACCTTCCATTTCTCAGTGTGCACACAGCAAAGGTGAGCATCCAGCCTCTGAGCCCTAACAATAGATGGTCTGACTAGAGCTGCACCAAAAGGCCCAGTGTTACGTGGACCTTAACTTTAACAGTATCTTTTGATAGCTCTATTGAGGTAGCTGTCATACTGTAGGTTTGGGAAAACAGTAGTTGCTCAATTAATAGTACTTATCACCATATATCAAAGGATCTTACGTGGGCCTTGAGCTTCTGCTCAGATCTTAGGCTGCTGCCCTTTGCTGGAACGTTCACTGTCCTCAAGATCGTCTGTTTCCTTAGAGTTTCATGTGGCCCAGTGTAGGAAACGCATCAGTACCGTGGAAAGGTGCGTTCTGTGCTCTTAAAGTAGAAGGAAGGACTCCCTTTAACAGGGACCGCTCTCACGGACATTCTGGAATTCTGAAATCCTTTCCCCTCAATCCACATTCACTGTTTACCCCTGTGCATATATCCTCTTTGGCAAGATGCTTGAAACGCCTCTCAGCGGAGAGCTGTAGAAAGGTCACAGGGAAACCGGAGGCCGGGCGGGCAGCAGGAAGGGCTCTGGTGCTCTGGCAGTAGTCAAAATGCTTCTCTGACGGCTGGGGCGCCCTGTTTCTGACAATGCTGGACGTCAGGGCGGTGGCCTCCTGCATGTGCAGCCCTCAGGCTTCTCACAGGGTGGCAGGGGCAGAAGGCGGGGCGTGGGACCCCCAACTGGAAATGCCCAGGAGGCAGAGAGGAGGCGCGTTGGCAGAACGGCAGCAGGGTGTCCTGGAGGAGCCCCATGGTCCCCCCTTCCCAGACAAAGGCTGCCTGGTAATCTGTGGTCTCTGAGGAGTCTGGCACTTTCTGTGATGACAAGTCGAGGAAAGGAAGAACCAGGTTTAAACAGTGGCTTGAAGAGTGGGTCAAGGTGGTGAAAGGGGGTCCTGCCAGGTCCCGCATCCAGCATCCTGGGCTGCCAGCTCCACGCTTGTGGTCTGAAGCTTCCGGAACCTGCTTCCACTGGACCTCATGCTGGCGTCTACTGAAACCTAGCAAGCCAGAGTGTGCTCTTTAAATAGCTACTATTCAAAAAACGACCATATATTGAACTGGTGAATAATTCGTCTATATTTGACCATCAGTGCTTGGAGAAGTGTTTGACTAGGTGACCACAGATACTCTGAGTAGCAATTAGTGACTCTGTTATTTCAAATGAATTTCTTCCTATTAACAAGTGAACAATGTCAAGTGGCTTTCAAGCTGAGGTCCTCTGTGGCTTCGCCAGGGGCATTGCTGGTGGTCTAGCTGGGCCCCAAGAGGACCAGACGCTCACTAACGCCGCTGAGGCAGAACCTGGGCCCGCCGTCAGCTTGTTCCCGTGGCGCGCGTGAGCTAGGAGCTCTTTCAGACAGGCTGTATGAGAAGCTAAACAGAACAGACAACCCTTCCAAAAGCCTGAGTCTCAAGGCTCACCTTCCGACGCTGTGTCCCTTTGAATAGATCTGTCCCAAGACACCAGAGCAAGAGGCCACATACACCTGGCACCGGGATCCTGCCCCGAGACCTTGGACAAGCCACAGGCCTCCAGGCTCATCAGCCCAGGGAGTTCGCATTTTAGGAAAGAATGGGGACACGGATGCACCCTGTGACTCAGAGCTTAACTCCTTTCTGACTTAGGGCAACCCCTGATTGGTGTCATTCTGAAGTGGAAATGCTTTGATTTGCTTCCAGCAGATCCTCTGATTGGATCTTTAAAGAAAATAAAGATAAAACACACCACTAAACGTGTAACGTGTAAAAGGATGTCCTAATTGTAAGTTTTGCTTTTCTCTAGTTGAAGTCTCACAGTTTTATTTACAATAATGCTGATCTTGGGAACTTTATCAAATTCAATCCTAGCCATTCTTTAACGGCAAATAATAATGACCTTATAGAACCAAATTTCCTAAAGATAGAGGGGGAGGGGCACCCAGGGTACAACCAGGTCGTAAATGCTGTCGCCCAAGAGGCGTCCGGGGGCTGAACGGGCAGGATCAGCCCAGTCTGGCTCGGGGGAGGCACTGCTGAAAGTTCTCTGATGGGACCATTAATCTACCATGGTGGACAGAAAAAGAGGATTTCCAGGTCCGTGTGCTCTAGACGAGAACCATAATCCATACCGCCTTCCTAACTGGACCAAGGTTGAAAAGTTGATCTTTAAGGCTGAAACAGTTATTGCAAATAATGGCAAAACTACCTTACATATGTAGCTGGAAAAGGGACCAACTCTCAAAATCTTTGTAAAAACCACCGCCCTGTTGTGCATCCTGAGATGAGTAAAACCACCATTTCATATCCACCCCACACCCGCCCCCCGCCCCGGCCTGGCCCGTTCATTCTCCAGATGAGACCCCTGCCCCCAGGCCACACGATAAAGTCACCTGTGCCTCATCTTCTCCACTCCAGGGAGCAGCTACCACCAGCAAGAGTTATAAAAATTAAGCCGCATGTTTAAAAAAGCAACACAGAAAAAGACCAAGGAGCTGCCTTGACAGAGGGGGCCCAGCGCAAGATTTACAAATAACTTGTCACTTTGCCCCTGGAGACGTGACCATGGCCCCCAAACAGCCTGAGTCAGTTGGTTCAGATTTGATAGGAAATGGAGGTGAGAGGAATGGGAAGCTGACGTGCTTCAGAGTCTTGTCTTGTTCCTGCTGACCACGGACACTAGCTTTAAGCAGGCGGAGGATCGAGTCCAGAGGGCCCGTGAGACGTGGCTTTCCGGGATCTTCTACACAAACCTGGGAACAGGCTTTTCCACATATTAGTTACATCATGAAAACAGCGAACTGAAACAAAACAATTGCTGCGTTTTGATAGCTTATCGAATCATTCTTTGACATTCTAAATCCTACGATTCAAAACCGGCATGTTGTCTTTCTTCAAATTCAGGAAACTTTTTAAATACCTAACCTTTGGAGACATCTAGGTTTACAGGATTATAAAAATTAAAAGTGCTGATTAGTTTTCAAAATTATAAAGGAGCACAACAGTCAAAACGTGGTGAAAAGGGAAGACAGACCACGTATTTTGAGGTTAATTCACCAGTAAATTCCTAAGGTGACAAAGAAATCTGCATTGATTCACATCGGGTGCATTAAATCAGATCACTGAACACCATTCTGCGTAATTTTCCAAGTGCTGACTAATAGCTGTTTATCACCAGCATTTCTTGAAGCAGTGGTTTAAAAAAAGAAAGAAACATGGAACAGGATTCCGGTTACCTAGAGCTTATACTTTCCTTTGTCCCAGGTTCGAATGGTGACATTTGTGCAAAGTTGCGTTGCTCCCATCTCTCACTTGTAGTGCTGTCGCCTTTAAAAACGCTTGAAAAGTTTCTTTTTTTGTGTGCATTTCCAAGAAATCAGTACATATCCCTGTAAATTTCCTGCAGCAGCGGGTGCAGGGCGGCGTCGGACTCTGTCTTCTTGATCACCTGCACCAGTTGCGCATGCTCCGTGACCAGCTGCCGCAGATCTGCCATCTTTTGCAGGAGTTTTGGGAAGAGAAAGACGTCGTCGGGATGGTTGCTCTGTAAGTGAAGTTTGAGCACGTGCACGATAGCCTCCTGCATTTTTTCAATGTGTCCCACATTTAGAAGGCCGGGCCGATCTATCCTCAAAAGAAAGCAGAGATGTTTGCGATTACCAGCATGCTAATACCTAATAACTGTTTTTCAGTTTGAGAAACCTTTTTTTTTTTTTTTTTTTAGTAGGGCCTCCCACTGCTGTGGCCTCTCCCGTTGCGGAGCACAGGCTCCAGACACGCAGGCTCAGCGGCCATGGCTCATGGGCCCAGCCGCTCCGCGGCATGTGGGATCCTCCCGGACCGGGGCACGAACCCGTGTCCCCTGCATCTGCAGGTGGACTCTCAACCACTGCGCCACCAGGGAAGCCCTTTTTTTTTTCTTTTGTTGGCGACGCCACTCAGCATGCGGGATCTTGGTTCCCCGACCAGGGATCAAACCTACGTCCCCTGCAGTGGAAGTGCAGAGTCCTAATCACTAGACTGCCAGGGAATTCCCGAGAAACCAAACATTCTGATTGGACATGGCCTTTTCTTTTTACCAAAAGCTCAGCTGCCTTTAGATGCTGTCAACTTACCTAGAAGATGGAACTAGACTTTTCCCAAGTCGCTGGGCCTGATAGGGGCAGACAGGACAAATACTCATTCCTAAATATTTCTACGACCTTAAAATGACTAGCTACCTTACGGGGTGGCCGCTTCATTTAGGATTTATCTGATTACCACCTGTCGGGGAAAACCTGTATGTAGAGGAGTAACTATACACACAAACTGCTTTTGCATAATATGGAAAATGAAATTCTTCTTCCTGTGTCTTCTTAGGTGTTCGGTTTCAACAATATTTAAGGAGTGTGATTATGTTTGACTTCGGTTTTGTGGTATAAAGCACTGTTACAGGTACCTTCCAATATAAGTCAGCTGAAAAGAAGGTGGAGCCAGAAATGAATTGGAGGATGGATACGGGAGGATGCTGAGGTAACCCAGAGAGGGGAGGTCTGAGGCTTGGTGCGGGAAGGGTGATGTGGACACCAGGTGTCCTCCCGGGGTGCCTCAGACACAGACACCAGACTTCCTGGGACAGCTCAGATCCATGCATCCTGCCCTTGTTCCAGAAAATCAGCCCCCACCCTCCATATTCAATAGGCAGGGCTCTCTCTAGAGTCCCATATGCATTACTAGGATTTTCAAAAGTGTTGCTCATCATGTGGATTTTTCTTTTTCTTTTTTTTTTGGTTATAAAATAATTACTAAGTTTTTAAAGAGAGAGATTTTTAAAAAACAGTAAGTGAACCCCCCTCATAATTTTAACCCCGTCATACAGATTTCATGTATACCTCACCAGACATTTTTCTGATCTATGATTAAAATCTCTTTTATAAAACTGTCATACTACTTATAAATAGCTGTGCATTGCTCTCCCCACAACACGACATCTTGAGCGCGCAAAGGACGGTGGTAGATCACATTCTGTGCTTTTTGCCAGAGCACAGGACTTCCTCCACCTGTGCCCAGCTGGACGGTCAGAAGGACGGACCTCGTGGAGCTGGGCCACCCTCCCTCAGCTCCACGTCCAGAGTCCGGGCGACTGTGGCCACAGCCTCAGTTCTGCGAGTGAGGGACTCGTGGCGGACAGTACAGCTTCAGGCAGCTTGAGGAGGCGGTGGCCCCTTCGGTCTCCCCTAAGGCTGGGTAGGGTCAGCCGAGTTTACAGTAGAGGGTTGACCTTCTTAGACCCAGGACAGGGCTATTTAAAGGAACGTGACACCGAGCCAAAAACCTGGGGACCGCAGGGCCAGCTGCCCCGTACAGAGGCCTAGATTCTCCTTCACTGGGATCCATTTCCTTTGGCAAAGCACACTTTGCAGTCACTGACAGTGAGCTACAGATAGTTTTCATTCTGAAATAGCATAAATATACCCCTAGAGACAGCAACCCGACTAACATCTGTATGACTTTATAGATACTGTCTGTAATATGGATATCATATGATAATAACATAATTATAACACTGCCATCCCTTGGTATCTGTGGGGGATTGGTTGCAGGACCCCCCGAGATGCCAAAATCCACGGATGCTCAAGTCCCATATATAAAATGGCACATAACCTACGCGCATTCTCCCGTACACCTTAAGTGATCTCTAGATTACTCGTAATACCTAACACACCTAACACGATGTGAATGCCACGTAAATGGTGGCTGGTGTGTGGTAAATTCAAGTTTCGATTTTGGAATTTTCTGGAAATGTTTTTTTCTGAATGTTTTCAATCCGCAGTTGGTTGAACCTGCAAATGCAGAACCCACAGGTATGGAGGGCCGACTGTGCATGATGGTATTATACACCATACGTTATAATATTATTACAATTATACCTGACATATAATAGACATTAGCTATAATAGATATAACCACATCATAATTATTAATGATGCCTAATCTTCCATTATATTCTAAATAAATATATATTCATGTAATTACAGATAGAACATTTATACTTTACAAATGTGTTTATATATAATAACACGAAGTTTGGGATTAACATATACACACTGCTATATGTAAAATAGGTAATCAACATGGACCTGCTGTATAGCACAGGGAACTCTACTCAGTATTCTGTAAAAACCTAAATGGGAAAAGAATCTGGAAAAGAGTAGATCTATGTATATGTATAGCTGAATCACTTTGCTGTACACCTGAAACTAACACAACGTTGTAAACCAACTATACTCCAATATAAAATAAAATTTTTTTTAAATAAAAAATAAAAGCTCTGCAACGGAAAACAATAACGTATGCTATAGTATGATATGATATTGATATCATTCTCACTGAATCCTGGTTAGTGGCAATGTGGGGCTCGGACACCCTCCTCCCCTACAGTGCTGGCTCCACCCTACTCACGTCGGATTTACCACCGCCAAATTCTCTAGGTGGGAGGCTGTGATTGCCACAGCACCAGCAGGTGAAATCAATAACTTACCTCCACAACAAATTATAGCAGCCACAAAAAGGGAAATATCACTGTCGTCCAGCTCCAGTGCATTAAACTTCATTGCAAAATCGAACTTGGGCTCCATGATATCACAAAATGGTTTTCTTAGGCTTTTTAGGAATTCACGAGTTATAAAACCATTTCCATATGCTACCAGCATCCCGTCTTTATTCATCACAGAAGACAGCATTGCAAATATGGCCTCGTAAACTCCGTATTTCAGCAAAGTGACTTGGTCGTTCAAGTCCAAGTTTGCGAACCCCGGGATGGACTTGGCGAATTCCGTGAGCTCCGTGACCGTCTCCACAGACGTGCACTGGCAGCAGTGGAAGATGCGGACCTCTGCCTCCTTGTTCTGGATGCCGTTGGCCACCAGCTTGGCCACGAGAGTCTTCTCGGCCATACATAACGTCTCCATGTCGTGTATGACAAAAGGCTGAAAAGAAAAACACCGGAATAAGTCGGGTGATGGCGACAAGCTGTCTGCTTAATTATCAAGAGAGCGATGAGTAGCTGCAGTATTCCAGCACCTGTCGAGAATCAAATGATGTACAAAACGCAGTCCTCATCCTTAAACAACCTCAAAATTAGCTGGGGACAAGAAGACATTTAATAGAGGACAAGATAAATCAGTAAGATAATCATGGGCGCCTAAAACTGGGTGGGGATTTCATTGCTAAGAAAGTGAAGTTCTGGGAATTCCCTGGCGGTCCAGTGGTTAGGACTCTGTGCTTCCACTGTAGGGGGCACAGTTTCGATCCCTGGTCGGGGAACTAAGATCCCGTATGCCGTGTAGCATGGCCAAAAAAAAACCCAAAAAACTGAAGTACTGATTTTGGCAATAAAGCTAACAAGAAAGAGAATATTAGCAAAGCGCTTTAAATATTTTATAATGTCCTCTAAATTCCCAAATACTACTGCAATAGCCAGTAATTACAGTAATTCTTAATTTTGCCATTTTATGAACTTCGCAGATAATCATTATCTAACACTGACTGTTGAATGAATAAATTCGGCATGTAAATAAATACCAGTCAGAAAGTTGGCATTTGTGTGGAAGTAAACAAACAAGCATTGTTAAACCCTTGCTCTTGGGGGATAAACCGGAAAGCCTTGAAGGACCCTCGTTTCCCGGTACAGGAGACTGAAATCTTCCCACCACTGCTCCATGTTCTGAGACAAATACCAAATCCCCATGGCAGTTCCCTAAATGTGGCCTTACCATTTGCATCTAAACCCACCGTTCCTGCCATTTTATAAAGATCTAGCAGAGGAAAGAAGAGATGGTTGGCCATGTTATTTGAAGCCAACGTGCTCAGAAGCGATGATGTATCTGGTGGGGCTTAGAAGAAGGGGCACAGATACCGCTGCTGGCCAAAATTTATGCCAGCTCTGTGTGCGGAGCAGAATAAATGGCAGGCTCTGAGGGATCTCTCTGATCCTTAATGTGTTCTACAGACCAATAATGAAGTGGGCTGAGGCATTATTTTCAATCCCCACTGGATAAACACTGAGTGTATAAGAAGCCCAGTGATTTTAAGAATCACTTTGCCAGTGGGCAAAACACGTCACTGACAGTGCCTCTGTGCCCACGGCACGACGTGTGCCCTATTTCTGGGCTCACAAGAGCATCAGGAGGAATCACAGCACAAAGCCATCTTCTGGGAACCTGCTGGGTATACCTGGCACAGAGGTGGGTGTGTTGGGATAATGTGATGCACTGCCTACGAAATGTTTAAACAGAACTAGAATTTGCAAGATAGTGTTGGACAAAAAAAAAAAAAAAGATCTGATTTCACATCTGAGGAAAGGGAATATTTTTAAAATTATCTGTGAATGACTGAAAACATTCTGAATACAGAACTCAAAGCCCAATTTCTAACAATCTCAAGTTTGATGAAGGAAGACCAAAACTCTCTCTCTCCAAAGACTTTAAAAACAGGCCAGAACTTCCCGGTGGCGCAGTGGTTAAGAATCCACCTGCCAATGCAGGGGACGTGGGTTCAAGCCCTGGTCTAGGAAGATCCCACATGCTGCAGAACAACAGCCTGTGCGCCACAACTGCTGAGCCTGCGCTCTAGAGCCCACAAGCCACAACTACTGAGCCTATGTGCCACAACTACTGAAGCCCACGCGCCTAGAGCCCATGCTCTGCAACAAGAGAAGCCACCGCAATGAGAAGCCCGCGCACCGCAACGAAGAGTAGCCCCCGCTCGCTGCAACTAGAGAAAGCCCGCACACAGCAACAAAGACCCAACACAGCCAAAAATAAATAAATAAATAAATAAATTAATTAAAAGCAGGCCAGATTTACCACTGTTTTGAGAAAGTTTGGGGGCAGTTCTGCTTCACAGGAAGTTGGAGCTCGGATTTAAAGTATTAACGTTTATAGGATGGACCAGAAAAATGTTTTTAAAGGACAGGTGGCAGTACTCCCTCAATTTCAGAAAATATTATAAGGCCACCTTGACTTTATTCAAATCACTGGCTTTTCAAAAGTACATTCAGCAGAAATAAAGGTGTTACATAAAAAAAAAAAAAAAAAAAAAAGAATCCTGTTGTCAAAAAAAAACCCTTGAGAAACACTGAGTTAAATAAAGTTAGAGTCTACCAGAGTCTTTCATGAGTGTACACCGTGGACCTTTAAGAATGGGATTAGCATAAATAGTGGTTCCCAGTGTTTGACTGCAGAACGCTTATTATTATACTGTTGTTGTTATTTGGTAGGACGTCTCTTGGACTAGCACAGACTGGCTACACAATTTGCAGGGCCCAGTGCAAAATGACAATGTGGGGTCCCTTATTCGAAAGTGCTTACGAATTTCAAGACAGCGACAGAGCACTAAACGTCAGCACAAGGCCCTCTAAGCAGGGGCGTTGTGAAACTGGACACACGCCCAGGACGCTGGCCCTGGACTATTTTTATGTGGAACATTCTCTCATAAACGGAGACTTCAATGGTAAGAAATATTTCATTTCATTTGTATAAAATTATCGCCTGGATTTTAAAAGGCAGGCCTCATGAACAGGCAAAATTAGAAACGATCTGAATTCAAAACAAGTGCTAACATTTAAAAAATCACGTTTATTACAGCCAAAGAGATGTTATAGAGTGACACCCTTGAAAGTTTGCCAGACTTTATTGAGAAACATTCTTGATTAGACTATTTTAAAAATCCAGAAGCTTATATTTAACTTTGGAATATTTTCTTTATCCTCAAGCGTGACTATGAATGTATCTGATGTTACGGGTGGTCATTTCAAATCAGTGAAGCACACTTTAAAGCTTTTAAACGGCACAAGGCAGAAAGCTGCCCACTTTCCCCCAAAATCACTCCACGCCAGGACCAGAAGTCTCCCCTAACTGATATTTCCCTCGCTCACACCTGACACTGTTCTATGTGCGTTAATGATGTTATAAGAATTCATCTCCAAAACACATCGAAACAGCATTTTCTATGAAAAGTTCGGCAGCAGCATCTTTTCAGAGAAATTTAATTGTGACTTATTGGTAGAATTGCTTTGGATGAAGTGATTTAATAAGCTTTTGGGTAGGTTTTACTACACACTTCTAGATATAGTACAAAATAGTATGTTTTTCAAGCTACTGACAAGTTATAGGTATAATATTTCAATATAACACAGCAGGCCAAACCCCACGGTGTGGTGTGAGGGGGCTGCCATTCCAGGATGCCGCCCCTCCCGGCAGCTCTGTCTCTGACCCAGCACAGATGGAGCAGAGACTGTGGCCCCAAGCTGGATGCTCCAAGCTCTGGGGCGCACTGGGCTGGGCGGGGAGGTAGGAGGAGGACCATGCTTCGACATACAGAGGAAATGGGGTGGGAAGTGAACCCAGCTTGGAGCAAACAGTGCCGTCAAAGGCAGTGGCTGGCCCTGGACACTCCCTTTCAAACTGGTACCCGCGATGCTCTGCTTCGGAGGTGGGCAGAAGCAAGCAATCGACTCTCAGCAATACCCCGAATTCTGTTTTTCCTATCCAGTGAAGCCCAGTGCTGGACTATGGGTCTGTCATTTATTTCCTTAAGACCAAAAGACAGATTCCTCTCCCAGAGTAACTGTGTGATGGCCCTCAACGGTCCAGATTTCAACTCTGGCCGCGGGTGATGGGTTCCTTCTTAGAGTGCGTGGATCTCAGTGGGGTGTGAGAAGGATACTCCATGGAAATCAAGTTAATATTAAACAAGAGTGTTTGGTTCCGAGTCAAGATGACTTTTAAGTTTGCTTTGCTTTGCATTCTGAAAACCCAAGGGAGATGTAGAAGAACTCAGCAAGATCTAAAAGGATTCCAAGAGATCAAAAATTTGGGGCTATACGAATCATTTCCAGGATAGAAATTCAAAGGTAAAAGATTACTTTGCTTTTACCCTTGTGATCTGGAAAGGGTTAGGGTGGAGTTTCTTCGAGCCTCTGGGGCCGCCCAGCATGGGTGTGGCTTTATGATTTAACAAGAGTTTGCTTGAACCCTCCTAAATTACCTCAGCCTATTGAATTGGAAAATTCACCGAAGAATGAAAAGACTCGGTAACAAAGAGGTTTGGTTTGTTCATGAAAGTAAGTAGCTTGTGAGATGCTTTATTTTCCTGTGACTGAAAATTCCAGCTTGTAATTCCCAATAAAGATGGCTTCAAGCTACTCATTAGTACAAATCAAACCTGTTTCACCACTCTCATAGGAGAAAGGCAAAACGTCTTTATTCGCCAACCTTGGGCCATCCCCCTCTTTGAAGGTAGCTCTGAGATTAGGCCTGTAATGGAGACAAAGGCTTAGCTAACTGTGGGGTGGGTACAGGGTGGAATCAGGCAGGGGAGGCGAAGTGTAGGCGTCCACAAGGGGCAATCTTAGTTGCTACCGAGAAGGTCCAGAACCGTCCAAAAAGACAATAAAGTTTCTGTAAACAAAGGACACTTTCTAAGCCCCGAGATGTCATTTCCTTCTCATTGGAGAAAAAGAAGGTGGGCAGTGGGTAGGAAGGGGGAGGTCGGAGAGGAGAAGGTAGTTTTAGGGGAAAGGATGTGAGAGCACACTTTGAGTGGGAAGTGAATAGTTCCATTTTATGGCATTAAAATAGGGATTAAAACAAAATCACTTAAGAAGCAACCCTAGAATCTGGTAAACTATTAACCAGACTTTCTGAGTGCATTAATTACAGAGTCATTATAAGAACTTGGTTGCTAGGAGCTTTGAGGTGGATCAAATGGGATGGGAGTTGCTGTTGGGCTACGTTTTATAGTCTCTGAAGGAAATGTTTCCATTGCATTGTCTCCCGTTTGCGTTGGGGATAAATATGATTTTCTCAGCATTTAGGACACACTTCCTCAATCCTCCTCGACTCTAGCTGACGTGTTGCCAAAGAAGCACTTCAGCCTATAATAACCAGCAGCAAAGCCACCTACCGGATTGTTGCTGGCCTTTCCCGCGAGGATGACCCGGGCCTTAACCTTGTTCATGTTGAAGTTCTTCAAGTAGGCCTCGTAAATCCTCTTGGCGAGAGATTTGAGATCTGCGGTTTCAGAATTTTCTAGGTCATGTTCACATGTAAGGATTTCTGCTTTCAATTTTGCTTTTTCCGATCTTGGCATTCGTCCGAAACGAATCGCTGGGGGTCGGAGGGGAGAAACGGAAGAACGGAGAACACAGAGAAATGAACAACGAAACACGGCACGAGGACTAACGGCTGGACGAAAGGTTCACACCACGGGTTAGACTGTGAGCAAACATGCATGGGTAAGTTACCATCCACTTCTCAGCACTATTCAGCTTTCTCCCTTGGAGAGATGAAAATAAACCTCAAACCCCATATATCCTGGACTTTTTAAAAAGCTTGAAATTAAAGGTGGCACCATGACTCACTTTATCAGTAGGATGGGCTTAAGGTCACTTCATGTCGTTAGGTACATAATTGAGCCTTTCGGTTAAGGAGATGAAAGTGAGCCTTAGAAGGAGTTAACATAGTACCTTTTCCTTTTACCAGAAGGTAGACATGCAACTCTTACGAACACATTATTTTAAATTCACTTTCCTGTAGTAATTGGCAAATTCTAAAATAAGAGTATGGGGACTGCCCTGGTGGTCCAGTGGTTAGGACTCCGAGCTTCCACTGCAGGGGACCCAGGTTCAATCCCTGGTCGGGGAACTAAGATCCCGAGAGCCGAGCAGCACGGCCAAAACAAAACAAAAAAAATAATAAGAGTAGGATTGAATATAATTAAATTCATAATATGGTAAAATGTTTGAAATGGCACATGCTTCATGCATATGATATGAACATTAAGACATCCCAGTGGTTTCCAATGGGTTTCAAAATCTTCTATCAAAGTTGTACCATCTGAAGTTTCTAACAGTATTTTCAAGGGTTCTACTGGATCTCTGTTATCTGAGGCATATTTTTCTTAGGCTATCATGTTACAAAATGACCCGGGCATTAAATGATGCAGCACATTCACTCAAAATACCGTCTGTTCCGACCCGATAAGGGGGGTAAACTGAGGCACGGGTGGGGAAAATGCGATAGACAACCTTACCTACCATTATGGGACATCCCAACTGAAAGGCACTTGTGAAAACGACAATACTGGCACTTATTCCGGTTCTTTTTCTGAATCTTGCAGCTACGGTCACATGTGTCATATGCCAGCTTTAGCCGAATAGTTCTCCGAAAGAAACCCTGCGGATTGAGATACGGTTTATTAAAGAATACGGGCCACTGAGGAATCAGTGTCATTCCTTTATTCACGTTTCCTGTTGCTCATTTATTGTCTTTTTTGTGTGTGTGTGGTATGCGGGCCTCTCACTGCCGCGGCCTCTCCCGTTGCGGAGCACAGGTTCCGGACACGCAGGCTCAGCGGCCATGGCTCATGGGCCCAGCCGCTCCGCGGCATGTGGGATCTTCCCAGACCGGGGCACGAACCCGTGTCCCCTGCATCGGCAGGCGGACTCTCAACCACTGCGCCACCAGGGAAGCCCCTATTGTCTTTTTTTAAATGAACGAAATGTAGAGAAACAGTTTATCTAGAAAGTCTGATGTAATTGGGGCAAATTGGAAATTGGAAATTTCATTACATGTAAAATGAAAAACAATAAAATGAGGCAAAAGTCAAAGTAATTTCAACACGTCCTCACCTGGCCTGGGAAGACACAATCACAGTCTCCTGAAGAGTGACTCTGCCTTGCTAAGATTTATACAAATGTGACTTTCTCTTCTGAGGACAGATCCATATTTGTGACTAAAAAGTTCTAAGAATTTTTGTAATTGAATATTAACTCTCTAAAGGACAAAGATTATATAATAAAAGGAAGCCAGCTGGTTGTAAATAATTTTCTTGCTTTATAAAAGTGTCTTAGGGACTTCTCTGGAGGTCCAGTGGTTAGGACTTAACACTTCCACTGCAGGGGGCATGGGTTTCATCCCTGGTGGGGGAACTAAGATCGCGTGTGCCGCATGCTAAGGCGCGACCGAAACAAAACAAAAACAAAAAACAAACAAATAAAAATATCTTAAACTTTACTTTAGTAAAGAACCAACTTTACTATTTAGTTCATAAAAAAACAAAAGTAAACAAAGGTGACTAACCATGGCCCTGCAGAAAAGGCCACTTTGCAAGTAGTTTTTTTCAAGGTATGTGGTTGGCAAATTGTGAAGGGTTTATATTTACACTGGGCTCTTTCCTCTTTGCTTTCCGGTCATCCTTCGGTAGTTCTGCTGGAGGACACGGCCTGACCCCCTGCACTGTGGGCCCTGGGTCACCTATGGTTAGAGGTCCAGCTGAGCTGGCACAAGAATAAGGATATACACAAGGGTGCTCGTGGTTCGGGTGGACAGGCCCCCGACGTGCAGGAAGGGGCTGCTGGGGGATCCTGAGCAGCTGGGGAGGACACAGCCGCGGGTCTGGTCGTCGCCCAGCACGTGCTGCAGGATCCTGACATCTCGGATGGTCGTGAGAACCTTGCCCTCCGTGACCTTCTGATGAGGGTGGAGAGAGAAAGTGGACAAAACTCTCTGACCTCGCATCCAAATGAAGGGAGCATCTTTAATGTGGTTTATTTTCTGTTGAAGAACACACTCTCTACGTCACTTACAAAGAACAGCCCAGCAATATGCCATAGACTTTCCAAAGAGAGAAAGGAATGTGTTATGTGGGTCAGTTTCTGATCTACAACTTGAGCAGACCTTTCTTAGTAGTGACAAACATTTGTGTATAAAATAAAAGGAACCACACGTAGTCCCCGAAAGGCCACTTTTCTCCCCATCCAGGGTCCACCGTACCTTGCAGCCTTCACATGCGTGAACCCCGTAATGGTAGCCCGAGGCTTTGTCCCCACAGATTCTACACTCGATGTTCAGTGCTACACTGGACGATTCCTCGGCGCTGCCAGGAACCACAGGGTAAGAGATGGACGAGGGACTCGAGGCTGGTGAGAGGGTGTCTAGGAACACAAGGGGAAGATTTACGAATATTCACGGCCTTGCCATCCGATGTCGAAACCAGCTTTCTGAGGACCTGAGTTCACGGGTGAGGCATTTAGTGGGGAGGCATCAGCTGGTGGGCAGGGCTCCCATGCTGCATCCAACCTGGCCTGGCCCTTGCACACTCTCTGTGCTCCCACAGTGACCACGTCGCCGGCATCCCCGCAACTCCCACCCAAGGGGCTCCCCAACTGAGAAACAACTTTACTTTTTAATCCATAAAAAACAAAACAAAATGGACTAAACCATGGCCCTGCAGAAAAGGCCACTTTGCAAGTAGCCTTATTCACACAAATGTTTACAGCAGCTTTATTCCTTTTTCTTTTTGGGCGGGGGCGGGGGATACTATTTTATTAACATTTAAATGTCACCAACAATGAGCTCAAGTATATGCCAGCCACACGCTCAGATTTTTTTTTTTAATAAATTTATTTATTTATTTTTGGCCGCGTTGGGTCTTGTTGCTGTGCACAGGCTTTCTCTAGTTGCGGCGAGCGGGGGCTACTCTTCGTTGCGGTGCGCGGGCTTCTCATTGCGGTGGCTTCTCTTGTTGGGGAGCACGGGCTCTAGGCACATGGGCTTTGGTAGTTGCAGTACGTGGGCTCAGTAGTTGTGGCACACGGTCTTAGTTGCTCCTGCGACATGCTCAGATTTTTGACACAAAGATAAAATGGACAGACAGCTTTAAGGGTGCAGTGTATTTAACATTGCACAATATAGTCAACAGTTAGACAATCTAGGGGGTGGTATAACTATACACTACAAGTATAGTGACAAGCCCTGGAACTGGAGGAAAAACCCGCCATTCAGGACTTAGCAGAGTTCCTTGCAGCAGCTTTATTATTCTTAATTGCCAAAAATCGACATGTCCTACACAGAACTCATTGCTTTCTTTGCGTCCTCGCTTCCAGCCCTTTTGTAATTGTTAACTCAGTAAATGGCATCAGAATATAGAATAAAAATCCATGTGGGCAACACAAAAGCACAATCCATGAAAGAAAAAAAAAAGAAGCTGGACTTTCTTTTTTTTTGCGGTACGCGGGCCTCTCACTGTTGTGGCCTCTCCCGTTGCGGAGCACAGGCTCCAGATGCGCAGGCTCAGCGGCCATGGCTCACGGGCCCAGCCGCTCCATGGCATGTGGGATCTTCCCGGACCAGGCATGAACCCGTGTCCCCTGCACTGGCAGGCGGACTCTCAACCACTGCGCCACCCGGGAAGCCCTGTGTCGTATTTTAGATTCTACATATAAGTGGTATCATATGATACTTGTCTTTCTCTGACTTACATCACTTAGTGTGGTAATCTCTAGGTCCATCTATGTTGCTGCAAATGGCATTATTTCATTCTTTTTAATGACCGAGTAATATTCCATTGTGTATATATATATATATACCATGTCTTCTTTATCCATTCCTCGTCAATGGAAATTTAGGTTGGTTCCATGTCTTGGCTATTGTAAATAGTGCTTTAGCAGCTTTATTCTTTTTTTTGGCTGTGGCATGTGGCCTGTGAGATCTTTGTTCCCCGACCAGGGATGAACCCAGGTTCTCGGCAGTGAAAGCACAGAGTCCTAACCACTGGACCGCTGGGGGAATTCCCCAGCAGCATTATTCTTAATTGCCAAAAATCAGAAGCAACCAAGATGCTTCAATAGATGAGGCCAATCCCCAAAGGCTACAACCTATATGATTCTTAATATCTGACATTTGTGGAGAGGCAGAAATAGAGCAGTGGTTAAAAAAAAAAAAATCAGCGGTTGGAGTAGGGGTCGGGGAGGCAGGGTTGAGTAGGTGAAGCCCAGTGGCTTTTTGGACATGGTGAAACTATTCACATGAAAATGTCACGGTGAATACAGGACACAATGCACTTGTCAAAATCCACAGAAGTTTACAGTACAGAGTGAACTTTAAACGTGTGCAAATGAACAAAAAAAAAAAACAACTGAGGAGGTCCAGAGATTCCAGGATGGCACACAGAATGTGATGAAACGATCTATATCACAAATGTAAGAAACACTTGTAGGAAACCTCGCTGAAGATATTCGTGTAAGTGACCTCGGAAACGAATGGAGTCTGTGAGACCAAAGGCAAAAGAACTGCCCCTGGACACTGTCCCCAGCCGATAAAGTTGTTTTCCACAGGGCTTTGGGTGAGCAGTTCTGATGCCACCGCACTGGAAACGAACAACTAATTGTTCATTTAATGATGGTGACTGAATGGATGGCTGGGCCAGGTCTCTCACTGCTGGAGTGTGAGCTCATTGATAAAGCGACAGGAGGAGGCTAAAGTGGTCCATGTGGTGGTGGATTAGAGGTGCAGACGTCTGTTTGAACTCACGTTTACCCTGACCTTGAGAGAGACAGCTATA